CTCCCCGTGGCCGGCCCTGCCCGCCAGCTCAGGACGCGCGCAGCAGAGCGCCAGGCGCGGCGGGGCCAGTGGTGTGGGGGGCACCCACCCCGGGACCGCTCCTGGGGAGGCCTGCATCTGCTCTGAGGGCCCGCCTTAAAACTAACCGGCCAGGTAACTGCGGAGGGCAGCCGGCCAGGAGGGCAGCTGCCCGCGCCAGGCCCCCCGCACCCGTGCCGCCTGCACACATCGGGTGTGCCACCAGGCCTCCAGCTCCGCCGGGCTCCAGGCTGCTCGGGCTCCTGGCTGGGGTCAGGTGCCTGAGGAGAGAAGGGTCTTAACTCACGGCCCCATCAAACCCTGGAGGGGGGACGGAGGGAGGGGGTGGGGGCTGGGGGGACCCAAGTGAAGGAGAGAGGGAAGGAGCAGGATTGGGCCGTGCCCTGGCTGTCAGCAAGGGGCAGAGTCCACGCGGGCAGGGAGCAGATGGTGGCCATGGCCCCGGCTGCTGTCAGCAGAGGAGTGTGGGGAGGAGATGACCCTCCCGCCCCCAGAGGCAGGCTGAGGAGGTGGCCAGGCCCCCCCGGGAGTCTGACGGGGAAACGTGGCCTTCCCTGGGGGCCATCCCTGGGCATGAGTTCTCACAGGGGACACGCGGTCCTGTCCTCGGGGGCCAGACAGACCCCGTGTCCTCTCTAGGAAGCGTCTGTCTGTGGGAGCAGGTCAGGCAGGGGGCTCTGGGCACCCCCACTGTTGGGGAGCCCACACTGAAGAGGAGACATGCTCCTGTCCTGGAGAACTTTGACCCCAGGGGCAGCTGGTCTCACATCTGGGGCACCCGGCGCGAGAGGGGACATAAGTACTGGGGGAGACAGTCCTTGATCTCGACAGGAAGCCTGAGGCCTCTTTGTTGGGAGCATAGTTTGAGGAGGGGATCCTGTCTGGGGGACATGAGCCTTATTTTTAGGCTCCTCTTGGCGGGATGTGGGGGCCTGGCCAGTACTAGACCGGTTGGCATATCTGAAGAAGGAAGCCAGCCTCTGGTTATGGGGAACCTCAGGAGGGTGTGGGGGTCCCCCGCTGAAGGGCTGGAGCCAGGGCCCCGTCTCCATGGCCTGCCCTGGGGCTGTGGTCTCCCCCCAGTGCCCCATGGCGAGTGGCTCTGGGGTGCTGCTGCGAGGCCTGTCATCTGAGGTGGCCGGGTGGGAGTGTCTCCTCAAGCGCCTGGGGGCCCCAGCATGGAGGCGGTGGTGCCCGCCCGCGTGGACCCTGGGGCGTCTCCTCTTGGTGGCTTTGCTCCCTCGTGATGCTCCCAGGGACCAGCAGCCCTTTCTGTGAGGGTTCAAGGCGCTGGAGCTGTGTGAGCGGTGCTGCTGGTCTTCTCTCCAGGGAGTCCCTGACTGGGCTCCTCACCTCCTCCCTGGGGTCTCTTCTGGGCAGTAGCTGCCCTGTCTTTTGCCCCCTCTCTTGCCTCACACCAGTGTCCCTGCAGCCTGGCGGCTCCCCCTTCCCTCTCTGTCTGAGTGCATGGCCAGGACCCTGGGAGGACCTCCCAGCCCACCCAGGTGCCCGGCCCCAGATTGGAGGGCTTGCGGCCCTGCCTTCCGACCACCTGTCAGCTGTGCTGTCAGTCTGCCTGGGACCTGAGTGGGCCAGGGTGTGTCCATTTCCTGCCTTCAGACCTGACTTTCCTTCCTGGGGTGGGGTCTTGCCGACCCCCGCCACCCTGACTGCAGGGGCGGACCCTGCACCACACCACCACGTGGGGAGCCCTCCCCACAGCAGAGCGGGGTGGGGGTGGGGGGTGGGCCAGGAGGGGAAGGGGCTGCCCAGAGTCTTGCCACCCCTCACAGGCCAGTGGCTCTCTCTCCCCTTGTTCCTGCTCCAGATGGCGGCTCAGCGGCAGCGGGCACTGGCCATCATGTGCCGGGTCTATGTGGGCTCCATCTACTACGAGCTGGGGGAGGACACCATCCGCCAGGCGTTCGCCCCCTTTGGGCCCATCAAGAGCATTGACATGTCCTGGGACTCCGTCACCATGAAGCACAAGGTGAGAGTCTGTCTGCCACCTTGCCCCTGCCTTGCACTCTCCCAGCCTAACTGCACATTTCTATGTCCAGGGCTTTGCGTTTGTGGAGTATGAGGTCCCAGAAGCCGCCCAGCTGGCCTTGGAGCAGATGAATTCTGTGATGCTGGGAGGCAGGAACATCAAGGTGAGGGCTGGGGAGGGGACCTTGGGGCCAGTGTGCAGCGTGTTCTGTGTCTAGTCATCCAGCCTAGACTGACTGGGGGCTCTTCGTCTCCTGTCTCTCCCCCAGGTGGGCAGACCCAGCAACATAGGGCAAGCTCAGCCCATCATAGACCAGCTGGCCGAGGAGGCGCGAGCCTTCAACCGCATCTACGTGGCTTCTGTGCACCAGGACCTCTCGGATGATGACATCAAGAGCGTGTTTGAGGCCTTTGGCAAGATCAAATCCTGCACGCTGGCTCGGGACCCCACAACTGGCAAGCACAAGGGCTATGGCTTCATTGGTGAGTTTGGGAAGGTGGGGGGGGGTGGTAAAGCCCCCTTCCCCCACACCCCAACCCCAAGGCTGGCCCTCACTGCGCTCCTGCTCTGCAGAATATGAGAAAGCCCAATCGTCCCAGGATGCCGTGTCTTCCATGAACCTTTTTGACCTGGGGGGCCAGTACTTGCGGGTGGGCAAGGCTGTCACACCCCCCATGCCCCTGCTTACACCGGCCACACCTGGAGGCCTCCCGCCAGCTGCTGCCGTGGCCGCAGCTGCAGCCACAGCCAAGATCACAGCTCAGGTAAGGATTGGTGCAATTATGTGGTTCAGTAGTGGGCACTAGGACCCCTGGTCCTGTGGGGACTGGCCCTTTTAGTGGTCTTGAGTGGAGGCTGCCAGATCTGGGACTAAGCACGGTGGCCTTCTTGGTTGCAGGAAGCAGTGGCTGGAGCAGCGGTACTGGGTACCCTAGCCACTCCTGGACTGGTGTCCCCTGCACTGACTCTGGCCCAGCCCCTGGGGGCTCTACCCCAGGCCGTCATGGCTGCTCAGGCCCCAGGAGTTATCACAGGTGAGCCTGGGTGGGTCAAGGTTTCCCTCTTTCCACTGCTGCTCCTTTGGGCTTAATGCCTTTAGCTGTCCTTAACAAGCTGCTTTGTCTTCTGGGCCCTCTGCGCCCCAGGGCAGTTCAGCCATGCTCCTTCCTGGGAATGGAGGGAGGTGGGGGAAGTGACTGCTGACTCGGTGGCTTTGCTGCAGGTGTGACCCCGGCCCGGCCTCCCATTCCGGTCACCATCCCCTCTGTGGGTGTGGTGAATCCCATCCTGGCCAGTCCTCCCACACTTGGTCTCCTGGAGCCCAAGAAGGAGAAGGAGGAGGAAGAACTGTTTCCCGAGTCGGAGCGGCCGGAGATGCTGAGTGAGCAGGAGCACATGAGCATCTCGGGCAGCAGCGCCCGCCACATGGTGATGCAGAAGCTCCTCCGCAAGCAGGAGGTGGGCCACCGGGGCCGGTGGGGCGGGGTGGGGCGGGGTGGGGCGGTCCAGCCAGCCACAGCTCTCAGCTGTCCCCGCCACAGTCCACAGTGATGGTCCTGCGCAACATGGTGGACCCCAAGGATATCGATGATGACCTGGAAGGGGAGGTGACCGAGGAGTGTGGCAAGTTCGGTGCTGTCAACCGTGTCATCATCTACCAAGAGAAGCAGGGCGAGGAGGAGGACGCGGAGATCATTGTCAAGATTTTTGTGGAGTTTTCCGTAGCCTCTGAGACTCACAAGGCCATCCAGGCCCTCAATGGGCGCTGGTTTGCTGGCCGCAAGGTGGTGGCTGAAGTGTATGACCAGGAGCGTTTTGATAACAGTGACCTCTCTGCATGACCTCGGCCCCATTCCCCGGACTCGCACTTTTTCCTTGTTTCCTCTGGGTTTTATAGAGTGATTCAATGGTATCTCGGGCCCGGCCGCCCAACCTGTGGATAAAGGTGCAGGTGCTGCTGGCCCTGACCGTCCCTGTCTGACAGTGGTCTTGTGCTTATTGGTTCCCGGGGCGCGGGTGCGGGTGCGGGTGCGGGTGCGGGACAGGACGAGCACCCGGGCAGCGCAGAGGCAGCGAGCGTTGGCGGTCAGAGACCTGAATACCGCAAGGAAGGCATTTGCCGGGGTCAGCAGGAGTTGCTTGGTTCTTTGGTGCCCGCACGGGGTGAACCGTGGGGGTACCCTTCCTGCTGTGCGGGGCTCTACCGTCACGTGCTCAGGTAGTGCTTCAAGAAGGCTGGCCCAGTCTCCGAGGTCCTGGGACACGCGCAGTCCACCAGGCAAATAAATACGAGCACAGCTTCGGCCTGGCGCCCTACCCTCGGGGAGCCACGTCCCGGCGGGAGGGGCGGCGGGCGGGATCTCGGGGTCGTGAGGCGGGGACGGGGTGGGGGTTGGGGGGTGCAGGGCGGTGCTGGAGGGAAGGCAGGAAATCGAGCCGCTGGTTAAGACGCTGGCTAGGGCGCTGGCGGTGGGGAGCGCAGGCTTTGAGCGGACTTCAGCTCCCACCATTCCTTGCGCCAGGGGCAAGTCGAGCTTCCCGACAGGCCGTGCGCGGGGCCGCTACGGGTCCTCGGAGGCACCGGCGCCGCAGGGCCTTGTGGGGGTTGCAGTTCGGGGCGGCGAGGGCGGGCCTCGGCTTCCCGGCGGGCTGCGCGGCGACCGGCGGTTGTCGGCGGGGCAGTCCGGCGGGCAGCGGTGGTGGTTCCGACTGCGGCACAGGCGGCGGGCGAGCGGACGGACCGGTCAAGTGGGCCAGGCGGGATGCCGGGCCGCTGCCGCGTCCTGAGAGTCTGAGCGCCGGCCGGGCCGCGCCCCCCACCCAGGCCGCCGCGGTCCGAGCGTTCCGAGCGCGGGCCCGGCCCAGCGCGCCGCCGCCGCCCCGGGCCGCCCCTACCTCTCTCCCGGCCCGGCGCTCATGCGGGCCGAGCCCCGCCCCCCGCCCGCCGCCGGATCCCGCGCCCGCCCGCACCATGCTCAAGTGCATCCCGCTCTGGCGCTGCAACCGGCACGTGGAGTCGGTAGACAAGCGGCACTGCTCGCTGCAGGCCGTGCCCGAGGAGATCTACCGGTACAGCCGCAGCTTGGAGGAGCTGCTCCTCGACGCCAACCAGCTGCGCGAGCTGCCCAAGGTAAGTGGCCGCCGGCCCAGCCCTTGTTCCAGGTCGTCAGTCTGGATGAGACCGTCCGCTCCTCCGAACCCTCAGCCGGCGCTGGCCTGTGCGGGACACCGCAGTGTCCAGCCGGCCCTGCTAGTTCTTACTGGCCAGAGCCTCACCCTGGCCAGCCCCACCCTCCTCACCCAACGCCGGCGCTGGCACCAGGTGGCATCGGTCATCAGGTGCCTGCTTGGGGGTGGGGATGGTCACAGCCTAGAGGAGGAACTACAGATGGAAAGCCTCGGGGGAAGGTGGATGGGCTTGAGGTAGATCGGGGTGGAAGGTTAACCGGCCTGGCTAATGGATGCGAACTTGCTGGACTACTCTGGAGGGGGAGCCCAGCCTCTGTCCTGACTGCTCTCTTCCTCCAGGGTGCTGGGGTGGGGGGTCAGAGGGAGCCTTCTTATGGTGCCTGTCCCTGACAAGTCTGTGTTCCGTCTACTTCTTACTGCCTTGTTTCTTCCCGTCAGCTTGCTTTCCTTCTAAGGCCACTTGGGAGAGAAGGTTAAAGGAAGCAGGTCACAAAAGGATTTCCTTTTTGGAGATGGGGTGCTAAGTGGCCCAGTGCCTGGGGGCTGCATGCCACAGAGGGTGTGGCTTCATTCCAGAACTTGGACCAAGGCTCCTCACACAGATCTGTGGCCCCTGCTGTTTTTGCTATATTTTTTTTTGGTAGTTTCCAAATTCTTGTCGGCGTCTCAGGCTAGGCTGGTTGCTGGGGCGCAGTAGCAGAAACTACTGCAGGCTTTGGCGGGCCCAGTGGTGGGGTGGGTGGCAGAGGTGATTCGGGTGGTAGGCAGAGCTCTGAGGGAAAACGAAGGGCAGGAACAGGGACGCGTCGGGCAGAGAGGAAGTGACTTCTCCGTGACGACTAAGACCCGAGCGCGTGAGGGGGGTCAGCTGGCGGTGTGTGTGGGGGGGGGTGTCTCTGAGGTAACACACAGGGACCAGGTATCGAAAGTCAAGGAGTCAGAAGCTCGAGAAGCTGTGTGTATGTGTTTTTGTCTCTTTGCTTTTCTTACTGCAGACCAGGGTGACGGGGCAGGACCCAGGGTTCCTGTGTGGCCTGGAGCAGGGAGGGGCCCTCGCTACAGGGCCTGTCACCCTGACCCTACCCCCTACCCACAGCCCTTCTTTAGGCTACTGAACCTGCGCAAGCTGGGCCTGAGTGACAACGAGATCCAGCGGTTGCCTCCGGAGGTGGCCAACTTCATGCAGCTGGTGGAGTTGGATGTGTCCCGGAACGGTATGGAGCTGGGGCAGGCATGGGGTGGCATCTGAGGGTGGCAGGAAGGGCTTTGAGCTCCTGGAGGCTGTGGGCGTCTCTCCGTGGTGACTCCTTTCTCCTCACAGACATCCCTGAGATTCCTGAGAGCATCAAGTTCTGCAAAGCTCTGGAGATTGCTGACTTCAGTGGGAATCCCTTATCCAGGTGGGTGGTGACCACAGCAGGGCTGGGCATGGGATGTGGGGGTTCTGCAGCCCCAGCCTGGGCATCTGAGGACCCTCTTCTCTCCTTAGGCTTCCCGAAGGCTTCACTCAGCTACGCAGTCTGGCTCACCTGGCGCTAAATGACGTGTCCCTGCAGGCGCTGCCTGGGGACGTGGGCAAGTGAGTGCCTTCCTGCGGGGCGGGGGGCTCAGCCGAGCCCTGTTCCTGCACTGCTCCCCACCATCCTTCTCTCATACTCTGTCCTGGTCTTCTTCAGCCTTGCCAACCTGGTGACCCTGGAGCTCCGGGAGAATCTGCTCAAGTCCCTGCCTGCGTGAGTGGGCTTGCCCCTGTCAGCAGCTGGCCCCAGGGACCATGGGCCACGTGGCCACAACAGACCTTGTTCTGTTTCCTCTGCAGGTCCCTGTCTTTCCTGGTCAAGCTGGAACAGCTGGATTTGGGAGGCAATGATCTGGAAGTGCTGGTGTGGAGAGGGTGGGGCTGTCGTGGGTGGGGCGGGGCCAGGCAGGGCGAGTGAGCCTTGGACACCACCCTGTCCCCACCTCTTCTTGCAGCCTGACACCCTGGGGGCCCTGCCCAACCTGAGGGAGCTGTGGCTGGACCGGAACCAGCTATCTGCCCTGCCCCCGGTGAGTGAGGGTGTGGCTGCCACCCCTCCTTGGGCCTGTCCCTCCCCCTGACCCTCTGCACCCACCCCCAGGAGCTCGGGAATCTGCGGCGCCTGGTGTGCCTGGACGTGTCTGAGAACCGGCTGGAGGAGCTGCCTGCAGAGCTCGGGGGGCTGGTGCTGCTCACTGACCTGCTGCTCTCCCAGAATCTGCTGCAGCGGCTTCCCGACGGCATCGGTCAGTGCTGGGAGGGGCGTGGCTAGTGTGAACCTGGGCCAAGCGGGGTCCTGGGGCAAGGATCCCTGGCTCTGCTGGGTTCTGGGACCTGTCCCTGAGGAGGGGATGCATTGAGCCACAGTGGCACAACTTGTGCTCGCACCTGGGGAGCTAAGGCAGTGCACGGTGGCGAGTGCGGGTGGTGAGCTCGTGAGGGCACGATGAGGACCCGGGAGCCGCTAGGCGTGCTCAGGTTGGTAGTAGGGTGGGGCAGTAAGCGCGCGTCTGGAGGGAGGCTGAGGTCTCAGCGGTCTCACAGTGCAGGAGGCAGGAGTCCTTGCCCCAGCGCAAGCTGCTTCAGTCTCGTGAGTGTCCATGCTCCCAGCCCTACTGAGCCTGTTGCTGCATCTTCCCAACGCCAGGTCAGCTGAAGCAGTTGTCCATCTTGAAGGTGGACCAGAATCGCCTGTGTGAGGTGACAGAAGCCATCGGGGACTGTGAGAACCTGTCGGAGCTGATCCTCACAGAGAACCTGCTGACGGTGGGGCCGGTTTCAGAGTTAGTGTGGGAGGCAGGGAGGCTGGGGGAACACCTGGAGGCGCGCAGAGTGGTGGGAGGCAGACAGCCGCTTCGTCTGGGGCAGAGCAAGGGCAGAGGCTGCACCTTCGGGCTCCTGCTGGCCTCTGATCCTCACTCCTGCCGGCCAGGCCCTGCCCCGCTCCTTGGGGAAACTGACCAAGCTGACCAACCTCAACGTGGACCGGAACCACCTGGAGGCACTGCCGCCTGAGATTGGGGGCTGCGTGGCACTCAGCGTCCTCTCTTTGAGGGACAACCGCCTGGCCGTCCTGCCACCAGAGCTTGCCCACACAGCTGAGCTACACGTGCTGGATGTGGCGGGCAACCGGTGAGTGCTGCCCCCATCCAGCGGCGCGGGGCCTGGCTCTCCCAGAGCTGACCTTGCCCCCACCCCCAGGCTGCAGAGTCTGCCATTCGCACTCACGCACCTCAACCTGAAGGCCTTGTGGCTAGCAGAGAACCAGGCACAGCCCATGCTTCGGTTCCAGACCGAGGATGACGCCCAGACAGGCGAGAAGGTGCTCACCTGCTACCTGCTGCCTCAGCAGCCGCTGCCCAGCCTTGGTAGGTCGCTGGGGGTGGGGCCTGGGGCGGGGCGGGGCCGGGGGCGGGGCGGGGTTCCCCCTGACAGACGCTTCCACAGAGGACCCTGGGCTGCGGAGCAGCCCTTCGGAAAGCTGGGGTGACGCCCCGCTCAGCCGTGTCAGCGTCATCCAGTTCCTGGAGGCCCCCATGGGTGACGACGACCCGGAGGAAGCCGCTGCTGAGAAACGGGTATGGCGGGGTGGGGTCCCCGGAGGCTCCCGCCTCCTTGCCCCCGCCTGACCCCTGCCCCACCTGCCCCTCACCCCTGTGCCCACTGCAGGGTCTGCAGCGTCGGGCTACGCCACACCCCAGCGAGCTCAAGGTGATGAAGAGGGGTGTGGAGCGCCGGAGCGAAGCCACCTCCTGCAGGCCTGACCCTGTGCCACCCTCACCCTCCGAGGAGGTGCTTGTGGGGACCCGCAGGCCACGGGAGGGATAGCTGTCCACCTTACAGGACTTCCCGCGGGAGCCCTGGGCTGGGTGCAGGGCTCCCGGCCGGCATGGGCATGGGGAACCCACCGGGAGAGGAGCCAGGCTGTGGTGCTGGTTGGGAAGCTCAGGGCCAAGTGCATGTGCCTTCCGCAGAGCAGGCCACCTCCACCCAGGGCCGCTGGGCAGACACAAGAGCCATTTGGCATGGACGTGGGGCAGCTGCCTGTGAGGAGCCAGGAGCGGCTGGAGAAATGGGCCTGTGGGCTGGCACGTCTCAAGGGTACCCACACTGTCAGCTTCCGAGAGGGGGGCTGTTCAGAGTCAGGCAGGCCCAGCTCCGCTCGCTCAGGGCCCCTGGGTATAGCAGGGTGGCTGGTGCCTGGGGACACGTGGCGGGACCTGTGTCTGCAATGCACAGCCACCCACGGGAAGCCGCCCTCGCTGGTCCGGAGGCATGCTCATGCTGGTCTGGGCGCCTGCCCATCCTCGAGCTGGCGTTCGCTCGGGGGACTCATCAGCCTCTGCCCTTGTGATTTTTTTGGAATGAGCTTTGAGGGTTCAAACCACAGAAGAGTGGTTTTGTGTATCCGCAGCTGTTGGAGCTAGAAGTGCGGCTTCCCTAGGGGTGGGACAGCAGGCACCCCAGAGGATGAGCACAGACTTCCTGCAGGATGGGGGCAGCTAGGAGGGGAAACTCCCGAGGCTCTGTGGTCAGGCAGCAGGGAGCCCTGGGGTGCCTCCTGCAGTGTGGGATTCTCCAGGGGCAGCCCAACCCATTGCCTTCCCCTGCCACAGGAGAAGAGGCTGAGCATTGAGTCTGGCCTGAGTGCAGACTCGCACTTGTCTGCCGGCACAGCCTCCCAGGGTGAGCCTGAGGGCCCGCTGGCTGAGGAGGAGGGGCTGAGCCAGCAGGAACCCATGCCAGCCACCCAGGAGGAGGTCATGGAGGAGACCTACGAGGAGGTGAGACTGGCCTTGGGGGTCGCTTGCTCAGGGGCGGGCCTGCCAGCTCCCACCCCTCCTCCTTTCCAAGTAGGTGTGCAGGCAGGACCAGATAGTTCTTTCAGGTGGGCCCCCAGTTGCACTCTTCCCTGTGTGGGGCCCAGCAGTAGTCAGGCTGCCCCAGGCCGGGGCGAGGGCTTGGGGAGGAGGGTCTGTACCTCAAGGCCGGCTCCAGCCTGGGCCCTGCCCGCCCATGCCCGTCACTACAGCATGTTCCCCTCTGGAACGTTCCCAGAGACCAGGGCCTTCCTCGCGGTCCTGCTGGGGCCCTGCCATGGGGCTGCTGAGAACATGGTGGGCAGAGCCTCCCAGCCCCCAAGCCTGCTCTTCCCGCTGACTGCTCTGTGCCCCTCGCTGGCTCGTCACTTGTCCCTGTTCTTTGAGCAGCGGACCCTCTCAGCGCGTCTGCTACCTTAGCCCTGCGCTTGGGGGTGGGCCAGCCTAGTCCTCACGCTCAGCTCTCACAGCCCACCGTGCGCTTCGCGGAGGACACGCTGCTCCTGCCCAGGGAGGATGGCGAGAGTGAGGAGGGCCAGCCAGAGGCGCCCTGGCCCCTGCCAGGGGGCAGACAGAGGCTCATCCGCAAAGACACGCCCCACTACAAGAAGCACTTCAAGATCTCCAAGCTGCCCCAGCCTGAGGCCGTGGTGGCCCTCCTGCAGGGGACACCGCCAGACAGTGAGGGCCCGGTGGGGGCTGGGGGCTGGCACAACGGCCCCCACATGTCCTGGGCTCCGAGAGCAGAGGAAGAGGAGGAAGGCGAGGCTGAGGAGGAAGAGGAGGGGGCGGCGGCAGTGGCGGCGGAGGAGAAGGCGGCCGCCTCTGCACCCTCTGTCAAGGTGGGTCTGGCCTCACACACCAGCCCAAACCCGGCTGGCCTGGCCCCCTGGTCCACACCGGTGTGGGTCCCAGGCGACTCAAGGCAACTGGCACGGGAGGTGCCTGTCCCTAGCTTCTCACTCTCTTCTGCGGGCTGGGTGCTGACTCAGTTGAGAGCTCCATGCTGGCCCTGTAGCCCCATCCCAAGCCCCTGGCAGTCCCCCCCTCTACCTGGGCTCCTCTGCCTGCCCTGGCCTCTGGAGGGCTGGCTCTCATGGGTCCCTGTCTTCTCCATGGGATGCCGCGCCCCGCAGCAGCCCCGCGTCTGACATGTCTGTGGTTCTGCGCTGAGCACAGCCAGCCTAGTGCTGTGGCGGCTGAGAGGGCCTGGGCGGTCAGAGCTGGCACAGCCAGGCCTAGGCCCACCTGGCACCAGCCCAGCCTGCCCATTTGGCAGGTCGGCAGCAGCAGCCAGGCCTCCAGACCGGAGGGGACCCCCTGCCTGGGGGCAGCACCAGACCCACGCAGGAAGGGCACTCAGTCTGTGGGAGCTTGGTGTGGTCTTCTCTCTCTCTCTCTCTTGCTCGTGGCGGGGCCGGGCAAGGAGGTGGCGGGGCCGGGCGGCAGCTGACCTGCATGTCCTTGCTGGTCCTGTCCTAACAGGGGGTGTCGTTTGACCAGGCCAATAACCTGCTGATAGAGCCCGCTCGCATTGAGGAGGAAGAGGTCTGTACCCGCTTGCCACTGCACTCTCGCCCCGGGCTTTGCGGGCCTTGCTCTCGGGCTGCGGGCTCTCCGTCTCTTTCCCACTGCTGCTCAGGCCTCCTCCCCAAACTCAGAGCCAGGGCCTGGGGCTCCTGCTAGACCCACAGGGCGCCGGCCTCCAGGCAGGGGTGGCCGATCTTGGAGGAGGTGCAGGGTGCGCCCCCTCTCCTGCATCACTCTGGCCCTGCAAGGCCCCTGTCACCCACAGGTCAGCGCTCCCTCTGGCCGCGCTCCCTGGAGCCCGGCAACCCCACCTCCTCAGCTCCTCTGTGGCCCTAGCTGGCCCTGGGAGAGGTGGCTGGTGGCCAGAGGGGACCAGGCCCCGGCCCCTCAGCCCTCCCTGGACACGGCGCATCTGTTCTGTTTGCAGCTGACGCTCACCATTGTGCGGCAGACGGGGGGCCTGGGCATCAGCATTGCGGGTGGAAAGGGCTCCACGCCCTATAAGGGGGATGACGAGGTGAGGAGCTGCCCCCACCCTGTGCTGCCCGCGGGGTCCCTGCTCTTCCAGCACATGAGGTCCTAGAGGTCGGGGTTGCGGGGGGGCAGGGTCATAGAGGACGATCAGGGCCACCGGTCTGCCCGCCGTCTCCTTCAGCCTCACCTCCCTTTCACCGGCGCCTCTTGCACTGTGTGCGGCTTGAACTTCCTGGAACTAACCTGCACCCTCACTCCCTGATGCCCGGGACCTCACAGCAGCCCACACCCAGGCTGTCTGACCACTGCAGGCCCACTTCTGCCTTTCCTGCACCCTGGGGTGTCTTTGCAGCCCTGACTGGGGGGCTTCTGAGCCTCGCACAGCTGCTGGGGGCCCCTCTCCACAAGGGCAGGGTGGAGGCCCCTCTAGGCATCCACTAACGTTCTTGGACTGTCTCTGTCCTGCAGGGCATTTTCATTTCCCGGGTGTCTGAGGAAGGCCCTGCGGCTCGGGCTGGGGTCCGAGTAGGTGACAAGCTCCTTGAGGTGAGCCCCCCGGCCACCGTGTAAAGTGCACACCCTTGGGACCTCTCAGTCCCACTTTTGGTGCTAGGCTGCCTCCCTTCCAGGAAGGGGGCACCCAGCTCCTCCTGAGAGCCCCAAGCATGGGACCCCTACGAGGCATGGAGCTCATAAGTTAGAGCTCTGGGTAGACCGGAGGTCAGCCCAAGGCAGAAACTCACGTCTGGGCAGGAGGCCTGTGGGATGGGGCTCTGGCCATGTCAGGGAGCGTTGGACGTTGGAGGCCATGTGCCTGTGGTCTTAGGTGTCAGGGGGGTCAGAGGGCCGTGTGCCCTTCCCTGGGGGATCAGGGCAGGAGGAAGTGACCCACTCGACAGAGGGGCTGCTGTGTCCCAGCATCTCAGAGAGCCTGGGGCAGGGTCAGACACGCAGAACACCCAGCATCCTCCCCAGACTGCTCAGATAAGGAGCAGGTGTGTGGGGTGGGGGTGCCAGGACTGTGCGCTGTGGACTAGTAGGGGCGTCGCCTGCTTCCTCGACAGTGGGCCTCCTAGGCCTGCATTGCCCAGATAGGTAGCTGGTACCCACAGGGAGGAGGGTAGCAGGCCCTGGCACGCTGCGGCTTGTGCCCACTTGGCTGGCCCACCTGTGGAGGGTGCGCTGACGAGTACCATGTGGCAGGTGAACGGCGTGGCCCTGCAGGACGCGGAGCACCAGCAGGCCGTGGAGGCACTGCGTGGGGCGGGCGCCACTGTGCACATGCGGCTATGGCGGGAACGCATGGTGGAGCCTGAGAACGCAGTCACCATCACGGCCCTGCGGCCCGAGGACGACTACAGCCCGCGGGAGCGGCGAGGGGGCAGCCTGCGCCTGCCCCTGCTCCCGCCCGAGCCCCCCAGGCCCCACCGCCAGCGCCACGTGGCCTGCCTCGTGCGCAGTGAGAAGGGGCTGGGCTTCAGCATCGCAGGCGGGAAAGGCTCCACGCCCTACCGGGCCGGTGACGGGGTAAGGCTGGGCCAGGGGGCAGAGCGGGGCAGGGGGCAAGCCTGGCCAGCCTGCAGATACCCACTAGCCATCCCCCGCTGCAGGGCATCTTCATCTCCCGCATCGCTGAGGGGGGCGCCGCCCACCGGGCAGGCACCCTGCAGGTCGGCGACCGCGTCCTTTCTGTAAGTGTGGCGGTGGGCCTGCCCAGCACCCATGCACCCCTCTCCCTGGGGCCTTCTGACTGGCGCACTCTTGCAGATCAACGGGGTGGACATGACCGAGGCCAGGCACGACCATGCCGTCTCCCTGCTGACCGCCGCCTCGCCCACCATCGCCCTGTTGCTGGAGCGGGAGGCTGGGGGGCCCCTCGCCCCGAGCCCTCTGCCCCACTCCTCCCCACCCCCCACTGCTGCCCCAGGGGAGCCTGGGCCTCTGAGGCTGTCCCCTGGTTTGCTGGCCGCTGCCCTGGAGGGGCCGTACCCAGTGGAGGTGAGACCACAGCCCTGACCCTGCCCACCAGCCAGCCCCCTTCTCCACAGCCACACAGCTCTAGGAGTGGAGTGTTGGCCCCACTGGTGGGAGAACAAGGGCCTATGCCCTGTCCTCTCAGGCTCCAGGACACAGGGCATCATTCTGTAGGGGCTTCCTCCCCCTGCAGTCTTCTCTGCACCCTCACAGGGCCTCCCTGTGGTGGAGCTCCCTGGTCTCACACGCCCGCTGGTCTTGGGAATGCTCCCTCTAATGTTCAGCTTGTTCCAGCCATGCTTCCTGTTCCTCCATGTTCCCAGGAGATCTGTCTGCCCAGAGCGGGGGGCCCCTTGGGGCTCAGCATCGTTGGGGGCTCTGACCACTCCAGCCACCCATTCGGTGTCCAGGAGCCTGGCGTGTTCATTTCTAAGGTAGAGCAGGCCCCGCGGGTGTCTCAGGGTGCAGGGTGGCCCAGCCCCCTGCCCACGGCACACGGCCCTCCCCCCACAGGTGCTCCCGCGGGGCCTGGCTGCACGCAGCGGCTTGCGGGTCGGGGACCGCATCCTGGCAGTGAATGGGCAGGATGTGCGGGAGGCCACGCACCAGGAAGCAGTCAGCGCCCTGCTCCGGCCCTGCCTGGAGCTGGTACTGCTCGTGCGGAGGGACCCGCCGCCCCCGGGCATGCGGGAACTCTGCATCCAGAAGGCCCCCGGGGAGAGGCTGGGCATCAGCATCCGTGGGGGCGCCAAGGGCCACGCCGGAAACCCCTGCGACCCCACCGATGAGGGTATTTTCATCTCCAAGGTGAGCTCCTGCTCACCTGCCCGCCCTGTGGGCTTCTTGGGCGGGGAGGGGCCCAGCTCCGGGGCTGGTCCTGAGCGCAGTGGTCTCCCCACAGGTGAGCCCCACGGGAGCAGCTGGGCGAGACGGCCGTCTGCGGGTGGGGCTGCGGCTGCTGGAGGTGAACCAGCAGAGCCTACTGGGCCTGACACACGGCGAGGCCGTGCAACTGCTGCGCAGCGTGGGCGACACCCTGACCGTGCTGGTCTGCGATGGCTTCGACACCAGCACTGCCGCCCCCGAGGTCAGTGTTCCCTGGCTGGCGCTCAGCCACAGGGGCTGCATCCCGCCCCAGTGTGGCCGGGAGGCTCCTGGTCCTGCCGGGGCCGGGACGCACTTGGCCGTTGCGAGTCAGACCTGGGGGAGCCGTGCGCTGCGGGTGCCAGGCCCTCGTCTCGGCCTTGCTCGCGGCCCTGATGGGACAGAGCGTGTGTACAGAAGACCTGGTTGCATTTTCAAAGAAAAGGTTGAACCAGGCGAGCAGCATTTGGCCCTGGGGCCGCCAGGCCAGGGCAGGACGGCCCAGAGCGGGACACAGCCCACCTACAAACCCCTGGGGCCTGCCACGCTGGCCTGGCGCCGGCCTGCTTTCTATTTCTAACAAGCCCCTTAGGGAGCTCAGGGCCCGGACCCATGTCCCCACGCAGTCGCCTGGGCGGGCCTGTGGGGACCCACCAGTTCTCCGTCGCAGCCTCTGGAGGAAGTGTCGGCTGGTGTCCAGCCCGACCTGTGTCCTGCACCAGCCTGGCCGTGCCCTCTCAGGGGGCCCTGCTATCTTGTGCTGCCGCTGCCCCCGGGCTCCCAGCGTCAGCCGAGGGGGGCCGCTTCTCCTGCAGCACCCCCCACCTCCCCGCCTCCGGGGGCTTGTTCCCTGCGGCAGCTGCCAGCTCCCTGAGGGCCTCCTTCCTGGGGATGGGGCTGCAGTGGGTCTCTGGGACAGCAGCCTACTGCCCCTGTCCCTGCACTGCCGAGGCGGGGCCCCCCTTCTGTGTGTCGTCTCCTGAACTGGGAAGGATGGTGCGTTTGTCCTTGTTTCTCCTGCCTGAGCACTGGACTGGGACCCCACTCCCTGGGTTCTGGGGCCCCCTGTGTTGGCCTCTGTGCCCTCATCCCTGTGTGCCTGCAGGAACCCTAACCTGTCGTTTCTGGTGAGGAACCTGCTCAGGTTTTCCAAAGAAGGCTGTGTCTTCTGCTTTCTCATTTAAAGTTTGACCTTACATGTTTCAGTCAGTACATGTACTTATTTTTAAGGTTTCAGCACAAAGAGAGCAAATACACGCCAGGGCGAAGAGCAGAACAGGTGTCTCCCCCGCTTTACGAAGGCCTCCCTGGGCTCTTCTGACTGGCCACCTCTCCTTGGGTTGCTTTGTCTGTGCTGTGTTTCCAACCAGAGTGCTCAGAGCCCGTCTTGATGCTTTTGGGGGGGTTTCTGCAGGACAGCACCCTGGATGAAGGGGTGTTGGGCCCGAGGCCGCAGGCTTGCCCCGCCCCCGCCCAGCCTCAGGCGGCACCCGCTTGTCTCCGTGGACCTGGCGTCCTTTGACGTGTGACTCATGTAACTCACAGTTCGTCTTTTGCGTTGTAAGCTTCTGTTTTTTGTCGCGTAGGGCATGAGTGGGTTTTGTCTTTTGCTCCTTCACAATGGCCTCTCTGGGGTTATAGAAACGTTGAGACTGTGAGTGACATCTTCTTACCTTCTTTATAATGTCTGGATTGATTATGAAAACCCTCTCTGGGGCAAGATTGTCAAAGCTATTTTTTAGAAAACAGAGCACTACAACCCACTGCAATTGCTTCTTAAGCAAGTGGATCTTCCATCCCAGTGGAATGCACTGAACCGTCCATCACTTTCCCACTGATCGGGATAGGTCTGACTTCCTTGTGGGTTGCATCCGCATCCCGTGGCCCCAGGAGCTGGCCATGTTCTTGAGCCGATGCTGCTGACCTCGGTGTGGCCACTTTAGAGTGTGTTTCAGGAGACCTAACTGGTGAAATCACACACTGTTTTTTCTCCTTTTGACAACTTTTAGTTCGTTTTCATGTGTTTTCTTTTCCAAATGGACCTGCCAATTCTATAAGTTGGTTGGGACCTAGGGGTTAACTTTGAGCTCTGTAACTGTAAGTAATGTTTCTCCAGGCACATTCCTAGGTTGCTCTTGCTTTCTTTTTGATTCTCATCAGTGACTTTGTTGCATCTCCAGGAGGAAACCCTGAGGCCCAGGTGGTGGCTGCGGGTCCCCTTTTCCTGGGAGGTCAGGCTCCTCTGTCCCCCTGGGAACCTGGTGATGGTGGACAGTGACCTTGCCTTGTGCCGACTTAGAGGCGGTAGTTTATATAACATTCTTTTAAACTTGGAGGGCTGTTTCCATTTATAACCTGTAAGAATTTTCTCTGAAAGGATTGCTGAGTTTTCTGGAGTCCTTTTATTGGTGGCTTTTACAGCCCTGTGCCAAGTACGAGGAGGTGCAGCCCACAGGTTTCCTCCAGCTAGCTTGCAGCTTGAAAGAAAAAGGGGTGACGTGTATCTGTCAGGACACCAGTCATCTACCCAGCCCCATTTCTCTTAACCTCAGCCCACCTACTTCCTCTGTGGTGACCCGTTCAACCCCTGTAGGAATGAGGGTTCACAGCCATCTCTCCAAACTTTGGGTTCTGCCAGCCCGTCTTTGCATCAGCTGTGCCCTGGCCTCCTCCCCAACCTCTGCACGGCAGGCGGCGGGCTGGCATCAGGACCTGCCTGTCTGTGCTCTATGCCCAGCGGGCCTGGTGGCCAGCTGGGGGCAGCGCTGCAGGGGCCGCTGTGCACTTCCAAGAGCTTGCTGACTGGTCCTCAACATGTTTCGTGCAAAGTCCAGAACATTCTGTCTCCTCCCCTCCACTTCTGTGGTCCTGTCACTGTCTTGATCTGATTTCTGCCATCTCTTCCTCCCCATCACACTCACCAAAGTTTTGTATATTTTAGCAGCCTTCTCAGAAAAACCACCTTTTAGATTTTGATCAAGACTGCCTTTCTTTTCTATGTTTCCTTGATTACTGACCGAAGGAAGACTGCCTCAGTTACTCCTTCCTCATCTAGTGCTTTCAGTCATTCTAATGACCTTTCTGTAAAGACGAAATTTTATCAGCTATTTTTTATCCTAAAATAAGATTTTGTATAGGAGATGTGTGGTAAACACTCTGATTCTTTCCTTTCATTCGTTGATTTTTAAATAACAAGTGGCTGCCCTGGAAACCCCCAGGGTGACTGCTTTTTGGTCTTTGCCGTCCTCGTGAGGCAGGGTGCCCACGTGGGCACCGTGGTGACAAGCCAGCGCCATACTGGCTTGATGGTGCACCCAGGCATCCCTGTGTCTCCTGCCCCCGCCCTGGTGTGGGGCTCAGACCATCACTGCTGGTCCCTGAGGCCGTGCTCCTGGGCCTCCCCAGCACACGGGTCCTGGGGAGGCAGGCTTCTGGGGAAGAAATCTGTGAGGTGGTTACTTTCAACCCAGGCTTAAGGACAGGAGGCTTTGATTCTTTTGACTTTATATTTGTGTCTCTTTTTCTCACCTTAAAAGTCATTTTATTAAATTAATATCATAATTATTGATTTCAAAAAGCCATATCAATGTTACTACTAGTAATAAGACCATTAATAGCATTTTAACATTTCTTTATGTCCTTAGGATTTATCCACTTAACAGGTATAGTCAAAATACTATGTTACGTCACTTGGAAATAATTCTCCGTATTGTTCTACTGCCAGCTTGTCATATAGTTAGGCTTATCTTTGTTTAAGTTTTATTTTTGGCTGCGCTGGTCTTGTTGCTGTGCACTGACTTCTCACTGAGGTGGCTTCTCTTGTTGGGAAGCACAGACCCTAGACCCTGGGTTCAGTAGTTGGTGGTTCATGGGCTTAGCTGCTCTGCGGCATGTGGGATCTTCCTGGAACAGGATCGAGCCTATGTCCCCTGCATTGATAGGTGAATTCTTAACCACTGGGCCACTAGGGAAGCCCAGAACTCATTTTCAGTTCTTAAAGATGACTTTAAAAGTGGAGTTTCCTGGGAGCTCCCCTGCGATCTGGGGGGTGGGATACGGTGTGCTCACTGCTGCGTCGCGAGGTCAGTCTCCAGTCCAGGAGCGAAGACCCTGCAGGTGAGCAGCGCGGCTGGGAGGACAGACCGGATGCTCACGTTAAACCTTTGCCAGCTGTGAATACAGCCCCTCCAGGAGTCTGAATCCCCTCTCAGTGCCCCTCAGGCCAGCATCTGCATTAATGTGGTTTCTCCTGCTGTTATTTCTGTTTCGAAAGATACAAGCAAGTAGATAAAGTATTGACAATTTTAGAGTTGAAGAAAAGTGTCAAGGACAGTAAGTAGACAGGACCTCTCACTCAGAGGCCCTGCATGCCTCCCACCGACGGTCCAAGGTGACCTTTAGAGCCACAAGGCATGTGGGCATCTGGTTGTCTCCCAGCCTGACCTGGAGCTTCGGGTGAGCACAGGCCATCATGGCCTGGATGCCTGTCCAGTGCCTCCTCAGGACGAGCTGCAATGGCTACATTTTGGCAGGGTTACCACAGAGCTCACACTGTCTCAGAGGGCCTCCCACCAGACCCACGGGTGGTGCTGCCTGCATGGGGGCGTCTCTGGGTCGCCCCGCCAGCTGACACTTTCCCCCGGGAACTGACAGGCGCTGTGCGGGTGCTTGGGGAGGAGGCCCTCATCAGCCCCAGGGCAGTCGCGCGCCCTTCCCACCGCTCCTTCCACAGGCACTGGGCGGCGCCTTCCTTAGCGCAGATTTCCCCTTTTATCTCATGATGAGAGTTGTCACTGCTGCTGTTGATATCTGGTGCTCCAGCCATCCAGATGGAGCTGACGAGAGGGCTTCTGGCTGGCCCGGGGCCCTGTTGGAGGGCCCTGGCCCACCTCCCTCAGGCAGCCTCCTTTCTAGCACAGCAGGAAGTCTGGGGTCACCTCACTTTCCCATACCTTCTTTCTCCAAGGAGCACTGGTTCCCTTAGTGGACAGGGCTATTTAGGAGCCGGGATGTGAGCGCCGGGCGTGCCTGGCTGTTAGGGTCTCAGGACTGCTCGGGGGCTGGGTTGTGCCTGTGAGCGGGCACCTTTCACGTCCTGATCGTTGCTTACGCTGGAGAAGTGCATGTTCAGGTCTGCCATCATCATCACTCTGGTCAACACCACAGTCAAGTCTTCCTCCTTTAAAGGACCTTTTCCGATGTCAGGAATCTGTCGGCCTCCTTCCGCTGGACTTTGGCCACAGCCCCTCTGTGCTGCAGGGCTCCTCACTGCCCCCACCACCTTGTCTGCTCTGTGCTCCCGGGGTGCGTGTCCACGGCCGCCCTCTCTCACCCAGTGCCCCGCATTGCCATGTCCTCTGGAGCGTGGTGTGCAGACGTGACCTGTGGGTGCCCTGGGCACAGATGCGATGGTAGCATGGAGTCCTGAGCGAGCAGAGCCCACCCCAGAGGTTGCCTCAAGTGTGGTCACTCCGCTCCTCCCCCGCAGGTGTCTCCAGGTGTCATCGCCAACCCCTTCGCGGCTGGCCTTGGCCGCCGGAACAGCTTGGAAAGCATCTCCTCCATCGACCGGGAGCTGAGCCCTGAGGGCCCCAGCAAGGTCAGAGCCGCCCACAGCCAGCAGCCCCTGGGCTGGGAGCCTAAGGCCATCGGCCCCGACCACTGTCTCCTCTGCTCACAGGAGAAAGAGCTGCCTGGACAGATCCCACTGTGGGGCCCGGAGGCCACGGTGAGTGCCCAGGCCCTCCCAACCCGCATGGCGGGCTCCTCCCCACAGCCCAGCATCCCGGGCCTGGCTGCCCATCCCGCACTCTGGCAAGCACGGCCCTGGCAGCCCTGTGTCCACTCTACCCCCAGGGTTGGAGCCCAGAGAGCCTGAAACCAGCCTGCCAAGTCCCAGCTGCCACCCCTGGCGCCGGCAGCGTGCAGAGGGTCAGTCCCTGGTCGTCACACCCCTGTCCCGGCCTCCGCCCACTTGTCCGTCAGTCCTACCCCCGTCTTACCTCCTTCCCTTCACCTGAGGCCTTGCAGGACAGAGCTCTGCCAGCATTCTGCCCCCCCGGGGAGAGGGCTGAGGGCCTCAAAGGGCCCTCGTGCGGGGCAGGGACTGGCCAGGGTGCCCGAGCTGGAGCGCCACCCCCAGCCTGGCATGTGTCTGTCGTCCTCCACCCCTGAGCCCAGCCGTGATGCACCCGCTGCCACCTGCCCCCCGCCACCCCCCAGAGGCAGACTGGAGGCAGAGCAGAGGGCTGTGGGCCCAGGGGCCACCGGAGGAGCCGTCAAAGGGGAGCAGGCTGGGAGGCGGGCCTGCACTGCAGTGGGGGCAGGGCCCTGGGCGCAGGCCTGTGGTTCTCAGCCCTTGCCTGGAGGGCGGGCTGCCCAGCGCCAGCTGCTGCTGGGAGACCCCGCAGGGCTGGTAGGGAACTGTGCTGGCTGGGGGCTGAGTGAGCCTGCTCAGGGGCTTTGTGCTCAGCCCAACACAGGCAAGAGCAGGAAGCCCCCAGGAGGGGAGGGGGCCCAGTGTCCCCCGTCAGAAAGAGGCACAGCTGGAGGTGGCTCGCAGGGGGCGGGCCTCCCTGGCTGACGGGCCTCTGAGGCTCACGGGGAGGGTGGCCACCCCACCCAGGGGAAGCCCAGCCCATCCATCTCAGATGTCTCGGGGCTGCTCAGGTCAGGGAGTTGAGGACTAGCCTTTGTGCTACTGAGGCAGTCACCCCCCCACCTCCTCCTAAGGGGCCCCCAGCCCTGCCTCACCCTCCCGACACCCACCACTCTGCTCTTCCAGGTGGTGCCTGGAAGTGGAGAGATGGCTGAGGTCCCCTGCTCCCCTGGCCACCAGCAGGTGAGTACACACGGCAGGGGGACTGCAGAGGGGTGCTGTGTGCAGAGTCCGCTCCTTCCGGGAGGGGTGCCAGGGCACACCCCTCCCCCAGCTGCCATCCCACAGAGGGATGGCCTGCAGGCCCCTTCCTGGCCCAGCTGGCTGGTATCACGGGCTGGAGAGCTCCCTTTGGCCTCCTGGGCAGAGGGGGGCTGGGGGTCAGGCCGGCCTTCCCCAGTGCCTGGTTGTTTTGCCCCCATCTCTTCATGTCTGGGAGTCCCCAGAGGCCCCTCCACCCTGCCCTGAGCCCCCACCTGCCTGCAGAGAGGCTCCCCGGTTCCGCTGCTTGGGGAGGACCAGGCCTGGGGGCAGGGCTGGGGCAGATGCTGAGGTGCCAGCTTGGAGCCCACTGCACAGCCTCTGCCCCTTCCTAACGGGCAGCAGATGGGTGAGTGTTGGCCTCACCTCCTGGGCACCCAGCTGCCCACCTTGGCACCGTCTCTCTGCCCCACCCCGTCCCTCACACCCCCCACCTGAACCCCTTTGCAGATAAAGCCTGGGGTGATCCAGCCACTGGCTCAGGCCTGGCCAAGGGGCTCCCTGGCCCCCAGGGGCAGAGGTGGTCCCCAACCTGTGAGTGCCCTGATCCACGGGGCAGGGATGGGGGCAGTCAGCAAGGACAGCTGGTGGTGGGGTGGGCGGTGCTGCAGGGACAGCTGTCCCTGCTCAGCTCACTGCGCCCGTCCCCAGCCCCCGTCCCCGCCCTCCCCTGCTGAGCTGCCGGCCAACGTGAAGCAAGCCTATAGGACATTCGCGGCTGTGCCCGGCCTACACCCGCCTCTGGACACCCCTGCCCAGGTAGGTGGTGGGCAGCCCTCAGGTGCCCCGCTGCGTGCGCCTGTGAAGGTGTGACACCCGAGGGGCTGGGTCTCAGGGAGCGCTTCCCCCAGCCCCCCATGCCTGGGCCCACGGCCTCCCCGGAGCAGCTGTCCTTCCGCGAGCGGCAGAAATACTTCGAGCTGGAGATGCGGGTGCCCCAGGCCGAGGGTCCCCCTAAGCGCGTGTCGCTGGTGGGCGCCGACGACCTGCGGAAGATGCAGGAGGAGGAGGGTGAGCAGGCGGCCACGGCGGGTGGCGGGGGGAGGGGGGACACCAGCTCGCGGCCTGACCCTCCGCTCCCCTAGCCCGCAAGCTACAGCAGAAGAGGGCACAGATGCTGCGCGAGGCAGCGGCCGACACGGTGCACCCAGAAGCTGATGCTCCCGAGGACGAAGAGCCTGAGGAGGAGCCACCCTGGGCCGGCCAGGGCCCCGCGGCTGAAGGGTGAGGCGGGGGAGGGCCGCCCCAGTCCTTGCCCCGAGCGCCCCTCCGCCCGTGCCCGGCGTCCCTCCACCCGGCCCTCCTGTCCTGTCGCCCGGCCCAGGCTCGGCCCCGCGTCTCCCCCACCGCAGGGAGGCGGCGCCCCAGTGCGGACGGCCAAGGCCGAGCGGCGCCATCAGGAGCGGCTTCGCGTGCAGAGCCCCGAGCTGCCGGCCCCAGAGCGGGCCCTGTCCCCAGCTGAGCGCCGCGCCCTGGAGGCGGAGAAGCGGGCGCTGTGGAGGGCGGCCAGGTGAGGCCCCGCCCCGCCCCGCCCCACTCTCCGCTGCCTGCGCCCGCCCCCGCCCGCTGCCTGCCCCGCCCTTCGCTGCCCGCCCTCCGCCCGCCCACAGGATGAAGTCTCTGGAGCAGGACGCCCTCCGCGCACAGATGGTCCTCAGCAAGTCCCAGGAGGGCCGAAGCAAGCGGGGGCCCCTGGAGCGCCTGGCCGAGGCCCCCTCGCCCGCGCCCACCCCGTCACCCACCCCCTTGGAAGGTCTGTGCGTTGAGCGGGAGGCGAGGTCCCAGCCTGCGGTGCGGACCTCTCCCGACGCCCCCTTCTTGTCCCTCCAGACCTCGGCCCCCAGACCGGCACCTCCCCAGGACGATTGGTGAGGAACCAGCAGCTGCCGCCCTCCCCTGCCTTCCTCCCCTGGCGGGGCAGGGATCCAGGCTCCCACCCTCTCTTCTTCTTACGCTCTCTGCCTCTCTCCTCACGCTGTCCTTTCAAGGCCTTGTCTGGGAGGAAGTTTGACTACAGGGTGTTTGCCGCCCTCCCCTCTTCCAGACCTGTCTATGACATGCAGGTACCGGGTCCTCCGGCCCTTCTGCAGGACGCCCTGACCAGCTCCTGCCGCTTTCTGCTGAGCCTGTTTCCCAACCTGTCCCCTGCTCTGTACCCTCCCTGTCCCCCAACCGCCCGCGCCCCCCCCCACCCCCCCAGCCAGGGCTCCGAAGGGACCCACCCAGGCTCCTGGGGGGGCTTCAGGCAGGTCTGGGTAGGCCCTGACCAGCCCCTTTCCCCCTCGCAGTCCCCAGATTTCACTGAGGAGCTGAGGTCCTTGGAACCACCTCCAAGCCCCGGTGAGTTGGCAGGCCCGCGGCCCCCCAGCCCCCCGCCATGCTCCAGGGTGCCAGGCCCACCGGCTCACTCGCTCCCTGCCCCCGCCTGCAGGTCTGCCAGAGGAGGATGGAGAGGTGGCCATGGTGCTTCTGGGCAGGCCCTCTCCAGGCTCCGCGGGTCCCGAGGAGGTGGCCTTGTGCAGCAGCCGCCGGGCTGTGCGGCCAGGGCGCCGGGGCCTGGGCCCAGTACCCTCCTAGAGGGGTGGGGTGCCTCCCCCGACTTGGGGTGGGGGCCCTGCCAGCGCCAACACCACCCTCGCCCCGAGTCTTTTAACCTGGCATTTTAAAGAGGTCCCCTGAGGAGTTCTGGCCACTGACTAACTGCCCCCTCCCCAGCCAGGACCTACTGGCGAGACTGTAACTAGTGATGTTTGTACAACCAAAGACTCTATTTTGTGGTTTAAGGAGAATAAAATTGACTACGTTTTACGTCTTGTCCGTCTTACTCTGTCCACCTGCTGACACACGAATGTGCACCCCTCTGTCCCTCCCAGTCTGGGGGCAGCGGGTGCGGGAACTCAGGCCTCCAGGTGGCTCACCCAGACTGGGCCGCCCCCCAGCAGGAGGGGGGCTGGGGGACTGCCTTCCCCACCCCCAAGGCGCGCTCCCCAGCGTGGCGCGCGCGAACAGAGAAGGCGCACACGTCGTCCGGGGGCGGGCCCTTTATTGGAGAGGGCTACTAGAGGCCCCGCCCGGCAGCTGCACGCGCACAGGCAGGAGGACCTGCATTTGCTCAGCCGGCGGCCACCGAACCTTGGTGACGAAGAAGAGGCGGAAGTGCTGCAGGCGCGCCTCCTGGAACTGATTGGGGCAGTACTCGGGCCCATCAGTTGGCCGCAGCAGCGACAGGTACCTCTCCTGCTCCAGCAGACCGCGGCCCAGCAGCTCCTGCGCCAGGCCTGGCTGCACCGCCTCCAGCTGCCGCTGCACGGCCGGGAACAGATCCACCTCGCGCAGGTCAAACACCAGCGGCTTCCCGAACCTGCGGGGACAGCATGGGCCCTGGGCAGTGAAGGCTGGGGCGGGAGTGGGCATGGCGTCCGGGTGCCTGCCTTCCGCCCACCTCACCTGAGCGCCCCCAGCAGGGCCAGCCGGATCCTCTCTGGCCGCAGGTGGTTGGGGTTCACGGCGTCCACATAGTTGGTGTCCTGATAGCGCAGGAAGGTGGCCGCCTGGCCCGAAGGGTCGATGACAAGAGGCCACCTGTGGGGCGGCCTCCAGGTCACTGCCGTCTACTAGAACCGCCAGCCCGCCCCTGGCCAGCCGGGACCACTGACCTGCCGTCTCTGCGGATGCGGTCACCCACGTCCTTCATCAGCACATCGTGGAGCTCATTGACCTGGCACTTCAGCCCGGGCACCTCCTCCTCCGCTGTGGGGGTGTAAATGTGGGGCGGCCCAGATGCCCCCCAGGGGGCCCTCCCACCTCCAGCCCCAGCCCAACCCCACCCACCCTCCTGGGTCTGCTCCCGCAGCTCCAGCCTGGCCAGGGCCAGCGCCTCCTCTGCCTTCTGGGCCTCCTGCTGGAGCCTGTCCACTTGCTCCTCTGCATCCTTGATGGCCTAGAGGGGGGCCCCAACGCTCTGCTCAGAGCAAGGTTGGACTCCAACACCCACCTGCCATGCGCAGCTGGGACCCCTAAGGAAGAGGGGGCGCCCCACCCCAAGAGGTGGCTGCTGGAAAAGCTGACAGCCCAGGGGTGGGGCTCCCCAGGTCGGAGGGGGAGAAGCCAACCTGCAGTGTGAGTTCGGCCAGGCCCGCGCCCCTCCGCTCACACTTGTCATGCTCCGCGATCCTCCGGTTGAGCTCACAGTAGGCCTGCTGCAGCTGGGGGGCAGGGGGCGAGCCGACCTCTGGACAAGGTTGGGGGTCCGCAGGGCGCCTCCACACTCCCAGCTCTCCGCCTGCCTGCCCTCCCCTCTGGGGGCGAGCGGCTCACCTGCTGGTGACATTGCTGCTGCTTCTTGGCCAGCTGCTGTACTTTGAGGTTCATGCTGTGGTGGAGGGGGGCGGTCAGAGCAGCCCCAGGCCAGCCCCCCGCCTCCCACTCGCCGCACCGTTGGGCCTCCGCCTCCTTGTGCCGTGCGGCCTCCCGTGCCCGGCGCTCCCGCTCAGCCTCCATGTTCCGGAGCATGGTGTCTGTGAGGCTCAGGTCCCACGACTGCAGCACGCTGACCACCGTGTCCAGCGAGGCCACCTAGCGACAGAAGCCACTGGTCAAGAGCTCAGGCCGCCTGTTTTTGACCTGGGGAGGTGCTACATTCCCACTTCAGACAGGACACCCCAGGGCAGAAAGGCAGCCCTGATGGTGGGCCAGGGCGGGGCCCGGAGCCTTGACCATCGTGATCAGCACCTGCAACGCCAGGCCCTGGAGAGTCCCCACGGCCTCCCTCCCAAAACCTCAGGCTCCGCATCCCCCCACCTGCCCTCCTCCACACCTCGCCCACAAGCCCCCACTGCAAGGTCCCTGGCTGCAGCCTTTGCTGTCCCCCCGCAGACCTCCATCTGTAGGACACAGCCCTCCTCTGCACCCATCCCAGGCCCCATCGCTCCTGCGGAGTGAGGAAGGGGCCGCAGGACGTGGGCTTCTCAGCATGGGGCACAGGGGCCTGGGAGCCATTCATTTCTGGACTCAGGAGGTTAATCTGGGCTTAATCGAGCCACACAACTTTGATTTGTACAATGTTCAGTATGTGGTTTTTATTTAAAAAGAAAGTTCAAAGATGTGCAAAATCAGAGATGAGAGAAATGGACAGATGGAGCTGATGACTAAGTTAATAAACTAAATGATAAAAGAATGAAGGATTCCTGGGTTAATTGAATGAACGGATGAAATAATGAACTGATACATAAAAATTAATAGATGAAGGGATTTAATGGATGAATAACTTAGATAAGAAAATGGTTGGTTGAACAAATGGATAGATGAAGGGTGAATCCAATCATCTGACACAACTTGTGAGTGCCTTTCCTGTGACAACCAAAACGCATGACATTGGGAACACAGTTACGGAGTGAACTGGCACAGTCCCTGCTTTCTCAAAATTTCCTCTCAAGTATGGGACATCCCTGCTGGCCCAGAGGCTAAGACTCCTTGCTCTCAATGCAGGATGAATCCCTGGTCAGTGAACTAGATCCTACACACCACAACTAAAACCCGGTGCAGCCTTTTTTAAAGAGAATTAAAAAAATTTTTTTTTCCTCAAAACTTACTTCTCAAGTAAACAGCATGAGTGGGTGTGTGAATGTATGGATGGATAGCTGTGTGAATTGATAGTAGTTTAATACATGAATAAATGAGGATGGCTTAAGGTGGTAGGAAGGGTAAAACGAATACAGTAGCAAGTAGCCAGACCAGCAAGTTTATTAATAAATGACTCATAAGCTAATGAGAAAATGTTATGAATTGATGAAAGAGTAAATCTACTTTGGGGAAAAAAGATTGGATTGAGTGGATAAACTTATGAAAACAATGATAGAGGGACAGATGAGGGATGAAGGGATGGTGGACAGAGGCAAAACTAGTGGCTAGGTCACTCAGTTTTACAGAATTATTACAGCTTCCCTTGTGGTTCAGTCAGTAAAGAATCTGCCTGCAGTGCAGGACACCCAGGTTCGATTCCTGGGTTCGGAAGATCCCCTGGAGAAGGAAATGGCAACCCACTCCAGTATTCTTGCCTGGAAAATCCCATGGACAGAGGAACCTGGTGGGCTACAGTCCTCGGGGTCACAAGAGCCAACCACGACTCAGCGACTAAACCACCACATTATTACTGACTTCTCTGTCTACTTGTTTCACCAGTTGCTGAGGTAGGAATGCTCAAATCTGCTACTATAATTGTGGATTTAGTTCTTGTAGTTCTCTCAGTTTTTGCTTCACGTACTTGGAAGCTCTGTTAGTAGCTGCAAAAAAACATTTAGGATTCTTTTGTCCTCTTGATGAATCCTTTGTCCTTATGAAATGATTCTTTTCTCCCCAGTAATATTCTCTGTTCTGAAGTCTACTTTTTCTGATGTTAATATAGTCATTTCAGCTTTCATATATTTAGTGTGATCCCAGCACATTTGTCCTGTCCTTTTAATTTTCTCCTGTTTGTGTCTTTAAAGTTTGTTTTTGCAAAATACTGTTGAATTTTTAAGAAACATGTACTCATTTGGCTGTACCGGGTCGTCAGCCCGGCATGGAGCCCTCTGCTGCGGCACGGCCGTCTCCGGCTGTGACTCACAGGTGCTGGAGTGGGGTCGGTGCCTGAATGAGCTGCTCTTCCACACGTGGGGTCTTGGCTCCCCGTCGAGGGATCAAACCTGCATCTCCTTCATTGGAAAGTGGATTTTCAATCACTGGACCACCAGCAAGTCACTATAGTTGGATTTTTTTTTTTTAATCCAAAAGACAATCTGCCCTTTAATTGGGGTCTTTTGACCTTCTACACTTAATGAAGCTATTGATATGGCTGAGTTTAAAATTACCCTTTGCTATTGTTTTCTACTGGTTCTACATATTCTTTATCTTCCTTTTCCTCTCTTTTTTGCACTATAACTCTACCAATATTTAGCAGTTGCTTTAGGGCTTCCAGCATACATATACCTGTAACTTATGACAGTCTACCTTTAAATTATATTGTACCACTTCACATACAAGAACCTTCCACAGTATATGTTTCATCTCCCCTTGCCAACCTTTATATTTGTGTCACACGGCTGAACCTAACAACTATAATTTGTGCAATTTTCAGTATGTGTACCTCCATGTGTTATAAAACCACATGACACATGCCATTATTTTTTGTTTCAACTACCTTCTCACTAAGTTTAAATAATAAGGCAAGGCAATATCTCATATATTTACCTATGTAGTTACCCTTTCTAGTGCTCCTCACTCTTTTGAGTGGATCCATATTTCCATCTGGCATCCCTTCTATTGGTACGTCTTCCTTTAATGTTTCTTATAGTGTGAGTCCACTGGTGATTGAGTCTTTCAGCTTTTGTGTGTCTGCAAAGGTATGTCTTTATTTTGCCTTCAGTTATGAAAGACACTGAGTATAGCACTGAGTATAGCATTCAAGGTTGACAAGACTTGTTTCCTTCTTCAGTACCATTAAAGACGCTGCCCCACTCTCTCCTCACTTCCACACTTTCCAACAAGAAGTCTGCCATAATCCTTATCTTTGTTTTCCTATGTCTTTTTTCCTCTGGCTGCTTTTAAGATTTCTCTTCATCACTGACCTTGAGAAATTTTATCACATTGTGCCTTAGCCTGATTTTTCTTCCTGTTTCTTGTTTATTGAGATTTGAGGAATACAGTTTATACCTTTCATCAAATTAGGAAGCCTTAAGGTTATGATTTCTTCAAGTATATGTTTTTCTGTCTCTTCTCTCCTTTGGAGACTCTACATATACTGTAGGCCTCCTGAAACTGTCCACAGCTCGTGGATACTCATCACTTGGAAGAATTCCTTCTCTCTTCTGAGTATTTTCACTTGTAGTAGTTTCTATTTTGTAAGCCTCAAATTCAGTAACCTTTACCTCTGTTCTAAGTTGACGTTAATCTCATCCACAGCTTTTTGTTTCTCATCTCAGACACTGTCTATAATTTAAGTTTTTTATGTCTTCCATTCTCTATTCAATTTTTTGAGCATCTGGAATACAGTAACAATAGCTTTTTACAAGTCTTTTCACTAACTCTGACATCCACGTCAGTTCGTTTGTCTTGACTGGTCAGGTTTTCTCATGGTCATATTTTTCTGCATCTTTGTATGCCTGGTAATCTTTAATTGGTGCTAGACAGTGTGCATTTCGTCTTGTTAGGAGCTGTATATTTTGTATCTCTATACATATTCTTGAATTTTGGCATACAGTTAAATTACCTGGGAAGTTTTACCGTTTGGGTCTTGCCTTAAGATTGGTGAGGCTGCACCAGAGCAGCATTTATCCTCACTACTGAGGCAAGGTCCTTCCAAGTGCCCCACCCAGTGCTGCAAGGGCAGTGAGAGCTCCTGCCCAGGCTGGGGAAGAAAGGCTAGGTACTCCCTCCTTCCGTCCTGACAGGTGCTCTGTCCCCAGCCTCCAGGCATTTCCTCACAAGCAGGAGACACTTCGCATTCCCTGGATCCCCAAAGGCCCCCTACACGCCTCTGGCACTCTCTCTCTTTAGAGTTTTTATTAGAGTAGAGCTGCCTCAGTGTCGTGTTAGTCTCAGGTGTGCAGCAGAAGCGCATCAGTTTTGTACATACAGCCACTGGATCGTATGACTTACCATTGAGTTTTGAGAGTTGTCTAAATATTGTAAATACGGGTCCTTGGTCAGATGTGTGGTCTGCAAGGATTTTTCTCCCTCTCTGTGGCTTGTCTTTTCATCCACTTAACAGGGCTTCAGCAGAGCAAAAGTTTTACATTTTGATGAAGCTCAATTTGTTGGGGTATTTTTATTTTATATATTGACTGTACTTTTTGTCTAAGAAATCTTTCCCAAAGATTTTCTCTTGTGCCCGTCTATATGTTTTAGAGTTTATGTTTGCATTTAAATCCATAATCCACTTTGAGTTAGTCTCTTTTTTTTTTCCATTTATTTTTATTAGTTGGAGGCTAATTACTTTACAATGTTGCAGTGGTTTTTGTCATACATTGAAATGAATAAGCCATGGATTTACATGTATTCCCCATCCCGGTCCCCCCTCCCACCTCCCTCTCCACCCGATCCCTCTGGGTCTTCCCAGTGCACCAGGCCCGAGCACTTGTCTCATGCATCCAAGAGTTAGTCTCTTTATAGGGTGCAACGTTTAGGTCAAGGTTCATTCCTTCGCCTGTGGACATCCAATTGCTCCAGCACCACCTCTTAAACTGTCCTGTACCCCCCCACAGCCAGAGGGCTCCTGCTCCCCCCTGCCCAGCTGTGTGCTGCTCCTCTCAGTGCCCCCTGCACAACCCCCCAACTCAGGTACCAGTGGGTTCCACGTCCTCCCCAACACCCCTCAGCCTGCATGCTTCTCCAGCCCTGCCCCGGGCCCACCAGGGCAAGAGCATCTGAAGGGTGGGCCTCCCTATGCGCTCCTCCCTCCAGCCCCCCTGAGGCTGTGGCCAGGCCCTTCCGTCCTCCTGGCCTCACTATTGTTCCTTCGTCTGGCCTGGAAGCAGGAGTAGTCTGAGGCCAAAGGCTCTGCTGGTCTTTTAAAACCTGCTCTGTTGCTTATCAAAGAGCAGAGAAGAGCAGAGGGAAGGACAAAGGGCAACCCTGGAGCAGGACCAGGGGTGGGGCAGGGCAGGGCTTGATACTCAACTCAGACTCACTTAAAGGTGGTGGCACTGGCTGTGACCTGTTTTCACAGCTGTTCCCAGAGGTCCTGGGCCACCTATCTGACCAGGCCTCCTGGGCCCGGGAGAAATCCAGCCCCCCACTGGTTTCCAGCAGAGGGCCTGGAAAAAGGCCCTGGTGCTGTTTCCAGATGCCAGGGAGGAGCTGCCAGGCCGAGGCACCCTGGGGCAGGGGATTAGGGATCAATTTTCTCAGAAACGGGGAAATTCTGAGGGTGAGGGTCCAGATGGGCAGGCCGAATGCTGCCCTTAACCCCTGGGCCCCCGCACTGCCCCCAGGAGCCTTGCTGTTTCCACACCTTCCTTGGAAACAGTACTTCTAAGGTGGACTGAGGGCCCAGGGAGAAGAGAAGAACCCTGACCAGAGGCCCACGGAAGTTGGGAGCTGTAGTCTGGATGGCATGTTCCCGGGAAAGCTCACAGCGAGGACTCCCGTAGGGAGAAGGACTGCTGGGTCCAGGAAGGTCAGGACCCAGCCGGGAGAGCCACCAGGCTCCCGACAGCTTTGGGAGAGGGGCAGCGAGCGTCCTGCGGGGGTTCTGCCCTCCTTCGTGCACCTGCTCGGGGGTGCTCCCGTCGTCCGCATATATCCGGGGGTCAGCTCCGAGCTTCAGAAGCACCTCCACGGCTTCCAGGTAGCCCCCAAAGGCCGCTCGGTACAGTGGGGTCCGGCCGAAGGCGCCCTGCGGGACACGCTGGCTAAGCAGGGACCGCCAAGGCGAGGCGTGGCCCCCAGCCCTCGCGGGCCCCGGTGCTCACCTTGCTGTTGGGACTGGCGCCCTGTTCGGCCAGCAGCTGGATAGCCAGGGACTGCCCGCCCGCCGCCGCCTCGGACAGTGGCGTGTTCCCACCGCCGTCCTCAAAGTCCACCAGGGCCAAGCGCCACTGCAGCCGCCGCGCCATCCCCGCAGCGTCGCAGCCCACGCCCTCGCGGGTCAGCAGCTCGTCCACCTGAGCCAGGCGGCGGTCAGCGGCGCCCCAAGCTCAGGACCCGCAGCCCCGCCGCCCCGCCGCCCACCTCCTGCAGGACCGCCTGGATCTCGCCCAGGTTCCCGTCGAAGGCCGCCTCCAGCAGGCGCGCCCCGCGCAGCCGCTCCTCCTGCCGCCGCCGCTCGGCCGCAGCCTCTTCTTCCTGCCGTCGCCGGGCCGCCTCCTGCTCACGCCGAACCTGGGCCACGAAGGCCTGCGGGCGGTCCAGTGTGCCCACCGCTCAGCCCTGCGTCCCCGCCCCCAGCCCACAGTTCCCGTCCCCTGGCCCTGTGTCCCCGCCCCCAGCCCTACAGTTCCCGCCCCCGGCCCTGTGTCCCGCCCCCAGGCCTACAGTTCCCGCCCCCTGGTCCTGTGTCCCCGCCCCCGGCCCTGCGTCCCCGCCCCCGGCCCTACAGTTCCCGCCCCCGGGCCTGTGTCCCGGCCCCCAGCCCCACCTGACCTCACCTCCCTCTGCAGCTTCTCCATCAGCTCCTGGTAGTCCTGGTGCTCCTGCTGACGGCGGGCCAGCTCCTTTCTCGCCAGGAGTTTCCGGAAGGCACACTGGATGATGGTGGCTGCTCGGTCCTCCATGGTTGGCCCTGCTAGTGAGGAAAGGGCTTATGGATCCCAGGATTCCCCTCCACGCTGCGATCCTCGCGGCTGCGGGGCCAACACCAGGTGTGCCAGAGCTCCAGGTTAACAAGGCGAGTGGAGCAGGCGAACTCCCTCCCAACGGGACCAAAGGATCGAAAATGTTCTAAAACCCACAAACATGATCAAACCAGAGTGACCCAGCAGCAGAAAGCAAATGAGGCTGCACCGGATCTCTGGCACAAAGCCTGCCCTTCCCTACCCCAGACACAGCTGCGACCCTGCAAACACCCTCTGAGCCCCCAGCTTGCGAAGACATGTGGGGATGGTGGTGGGAAACCCAAGCAAGACTGAGAAGCCACTGTTGATCCTCAAAGACCCCTTCCCTCTGAAAGCCAGAAGGACCCCTTCCAAATTCAGGCAGCCGCAGCCAGAGACAGGGCCAACAGGGCTGAAGAGGGTGATCTCAACCACAAGGGCACTGGAGCTCAGAAGAGGGAGCTCCTGGGAGCTGTGATCCATTGGCCCTGCACTCAGCCTGGAGCCCGGCGGCACACTCGGCCACAGTGGAGGGTCCCAGCGTTCGAACTAGAAGAGGCATTCACAGCCACCTGCCACTCTCTGACCCTGTGATGTGTGATGGCCTGACCTCTCTGCGCCTCAGGGTCCCTTTCTCTAAATGGGATGATGGCAGTCATACCCCACAGGGCTTTGCAACAGTCCAGTAATAGCACCAGTGAGTGTTAAGAGTAATTGCTCAACCTCTGTTCTTGGTTCTCAGAACTAAGTCAGAGCAGAGGAGCACCAGACCCAGCTGCCAAGCTCAGCGTGAAAGAAAGGGCAGGGAGAAGGTGCACACCTGCCGTCAGATGATGTGGCATTCAGGAGACTGGGAGAAAACAAGCAGAAGAGCCTGCTCTCCAAATGCAGTGCAAGCCAGGGAGGAACTTAATAAAAACAGAAGTTCAAGGGATCAAACACAAGAGGAAAAAAGCAAAATGGGGAGGCAAATAATAGTCATCACAGAAAAGATGGAAGACACGTCTCAGCTCTGCAGGCCAGCAACTACAGCAAGAGCAGCCGGAGACGGAGCCCGTTGGTACAGAGGGGAGCACACAGGTGAGGGCACAGAGTGAGGACAATGAATTACTGTCTCTGGAATGTGGAGTCTAGTGATGGGGAAAGTACTTAGAAATAAAACACACAAAATTTTCTGAAATGAATCTTAAGACAAAAAGGACAACGAATACACCAGGGAGCAGAACAGTTGGCATCAGATACGTCCTACTTAAGTGCTAGCCCTTAAGAAAAACGTTATTTGAGCACCCAAGTAGGAAATAAATCCAATTGAACTCTCCTGAGACATTTTATAGCGACATCAAATGTAGAAGTTAGCAAGTGAGTGCAGCCAAATAAATAAATATTTTAAAAATAAATTTTAAAAACTAAAAAAAAAATTTTTTTTATTATTCCTGACTGCACTCTGACAGGTACCAGAAGGTGCCAGGAAATAGACCCTAGCGACATGAGCACGCAATATACTTGGTTGTGTTTCTGTCCTTGACCTGGCACCCAGCTCCCTAGCCGTGGGACAGACATGAGGTGCCAGTAACCCCGGTGAGAAGCGCAGGAATCACAGTGAACCAAATTCGCACCTGTGGCTGAAAGGGAAGCCTGCGTCCCTTCAGGAGGCAGCCCAAGACCCACCTCGGTGTGTACAGATCTGCCTCCCAGCCTCCCAGAGGCCCCGGTCCACTGACTAGGCCCTGGAGGAAGGACAGTAGGCAGAGACTGGGGACTAAGCTCTGGTTCTGAACCAGTTCCCGGGGCCCCCAAACACTGCCGTGTCCACTGGTTATAAGTGGGGCTTATCACGCCCAGGAAACGCTGGCCGAGCTGTGCCTGGATTCCTGACTCATAGAGACCACGGGCTGAGACACGGCCATTCTCATGGCCGAAGGACCTGCCGGCAGGCAGAGCGGACAGCCCCCCGCACTGCGCGGAGGGAGCTCACATGCGTGCGGGAGATGAGTGCGGGGGCCGCAGCCCGGGGCCTGGGCGCCTGGCGGCCCCGAGCAGCTCCGACCCTCGCGCCGGCGTCCAGTGGTGCGGGCCCCGCGGCCGCTCTGTTTATCCCGCCAGCAGGGGGCGCGGGAGGGGGCTCCGGAGGCCAGAGGCGGCGGCAGCGCAGTGCTGCCCGCCTGCTGGACGCCCCTCTGCTCTGGCGCTGCTGGGCAGCGACCACACCTGTCGGCTCCCGCAGCTGGCCCCACGCGCCAGAACGCCTCCTTCCGCCTTGCCCGAGGAGAGCGGTCTTTCTGAACCACGATGACCTCACCCGAAGCCCCCTTTGCTGCCCGCAGGCCAGTAAGGAGAGTCAGGGGCTGAGCAGATGGAGCAGGGAGGTGCAGGTGGGCTCCGGGAAGAGGCCCATGGCGGCCCGACAAAGTCTGTTTGTTTAAGGCTCCCGCTGTGAGGCCCCCTGGGAGGGTTCAGAGGACAGTCCTTAGTCAGTGAGAAACACCCCTGACCTCACCCTCGGCAGGCTGGGCTGGTGCTGGGAGGCCAGTGGGCTGTCCTCAGGTTGGTGGAAGATGGGAGCCCAGAACCGAAGAGGCTGAGCAGCAGCAGTGAGCTGTGCGGCCAGGATGCTATCGCCATAGGCAGCAGTCGGGGGGAGTCAGGATGCAGAGACCCCGGGGCGAGAGGCAGGGAAGGCTCCATCCACCCGAAATCTGACATCAGCCACCAGTCTCTCACCCAGTTTCCAGACAAAAGTCAAGGTCAAAGACTCACAGCTGCTGTGAGAGAATGCCAGATGCCCTTGGTGGAGGCCCTGCAAAGCCTCTCCAAGTGCTCTCCCCAGGCTGGCCTTCCCTTGCTCACCCCGGAGGAGTTGGAGGCCTCTGTCAGGCTCAATGGCGCCCTGGGGAAACGGGGATAGAGGCCTTTTGAGGCCTGTAGACATATCTGAACTGACACTGCTGCCTGGGGGAGGGGGGGCACATTGCAATATCATCATGGCCCTGTTTGAGCGAAGGCCAAGGGGCAGGCGGCACTGTGCCCCAGTCCATTCCCAGGTCCAGCTGGGACAGGGACACCTGGCTGCTGGTGGAATGCTCACACTGGCTTCTTCACCAGCAGAGCTGTTACCGTAGCAAGAGCCAGAGGGGAGCCTGAGAAACCCCCTTCCCACCAGGACCATGAACAAGATAGAACAATTTCCTGGAGGAACTGAAGAGACTAATACCAGCACCAGAGACGTGAGGGACCCCTATAAACATAGTCAGTTGACCTTTGACAAAGGGGCAGAGGCAATGGGTGAAGCCAAGATGGTCTCTTTAAAAGATGTTGCTGCAACACCTGGACGTCCTCATGCAAGAAAGTGAATCTGGATACAGATCTTACACCCTTCATGGAAATTAACTCAAGATGTATCACAGACCTGAATGTGAAACAAAACTGGAGCATTCCCTGGTGGCCTAATGGTTAGGATTCTGGGCTTTCACTGACGCAACCTGGGTTCAATCCCGGGTTAGGGTACTGAGATCCCATATGTCTTACAATCAAACCAAACAAACGAAAAACCCCACAGAACTGATTTCTAGAAGGTACAGAGGAGAAAACCCAGATGACCTTGCGTTTGGCAATGACTTTTTAGGTACAACATCAGAAGCACAATTAATGAAACAACTGATAAGCTGGACTTCATTAAAATGAAAATTTTCTTCTTTACTAAACACAGTCTGGGAGAAACTTTGCAAAAGACACATTTGATAAAGGACTGTAATCTGAAATACACAAAGAACTCTTAAGACCAAACAGTAAGAGAACAACCTGATGTTAAAATGGGCCAAAGAGCTGAGCAGACACTTCATCAAAGAACCTATACTGTTGGCACAGAAAGCATGTGAAAGATGCTCCACATCACCTGTCAGCAGGAAATGCAAAGTAAAACAAGAGTGAGATACCTCTGCACGCCTACTAGAGGAGCCAGAAGGCGGACACTCCGACACCAGGCACTGGCGAGGGTGCGGGGCAGGGGGACCCGCAGTCAGTGCTGGTGGGAGCGCAGGAGGGTGCAGCCGCCTTGGAAGACAGTTAGGCAGTTTCTTATAAAACATACTCTAATAATTTGACAACTGTGCTCCCTGGTTTTTACCAAAAGGAATTGAAATCTTATGCTCACAACAAATCCTGCACGCGGATGTTTACAGCAGATTTATTATAATTGCTAAAACCTAGACTCAACCATGATGTCCTTCAGCAGGTGAGTGGGTAAATAAACTGTGGTTCATCCAGACAATGGAGCCCTAAAAGGAACTGAGCTCTCAAGACACAGAAAAACACAAGAGGTGCCTCCCTGCGGACTGAGCCCTGTGGATGGAGAGCTGCAGCCCCCTCCACCCCCAGGAATGCCGTCGAGTGGCAGACAGGAGTGCAGCCAGATGTGCTCCTTTCCGTCCTGAAGAATCGCTGTGTGCCTGATGCTGCAAGTCCTGGAGTGAGGACCCCAGCTCCTTCACTCAGTAATATGCACTTACGGAGGAACCTTAAATGCATATTCATACAGTTCATGGGGTTTTTAAGGCAAGAATACTGAGGTGGTTTGCCATTCCCTTCTCCAGTGGACCACATTTTGTCAGGACTCTCCACCATGACCCGTCTGTCTTGGCTGGCCCTACACAGCATGGCTCATAGTTTCATTGAGTTAGACAAGATTGTGGTCCGTGTGATCAGATTGATAAGAAGCTTATGGAAGCTTCCTGATGGGAGAGACTGAGGGGGAATCTGGGTCTTGTTCTGAGGCCATGCTCAGTAAATCTTTAATCCAATTTTCTGTTGATGGGCGGGGCTGTGTTCCCTCTCTGTTATTTGACCTGAGGCCAAACTATGGTGGAGGTGATGAAGATAATGGCATAAGAAAAAGTTGACTTAAAACTCAACATTCAGAAAACTAAGATCATGGCATCTGGTCCCATCAATTCATGGCAAATAGATGGGGAAACAATGGAAACAGTGACAGACTTTATTTTGGGGGGCTCTAAAATCACTGCAGATGGTGACTGCAGCCATGAAATTAAAAGACACTTGCTCCTTGGAAGAAAAGTTATGACCAACCTAGACAGCATATTAAAAACCAGAGACATTACTTTGCCAACAAAGGTCCATTTAGTCAAAGCTATGGTTTTCCCAGTAGTCACGTATGGATGTGAGAGTTGGACTATAAAGAAAGCTGAGTGCCAAAGAATTGACGCTTTTGAACTCTGGTGTTGGAGAAGATTCTTGAGTCTCCTTGGACTGCAAGGAGATCCAACCAGTCCATCCTAAAGGAAATCAGTCCCGAGTGTTCATTGGAAGGACTGAGGCTGAAGCTGAAACTCCAATACTTTGGCCACCTGATGAGAACTGACTCATGTGAAAAGACCCCATTGCTGGTAAAGATTGAAGGCGGGAGGAGAAGGGGACAACAGAGGGTGAGATGGTTGGATGGAATCCCCAACTCAATGGACATGAGTTTGGGTAAACTTCGGGAGTTGGTGATGGACAGGGAGGCCTGGCGTGCTGCAGTCCATGGGGTCACAAAGAGTACGACAAGACTGAGGGACTGAACTGAACTGAAATGCATATCACTCAGTGAAAAAAAAAAAATTTGAGAAGGCTATAATACTGTATGATTCCAAGTATCTGACGTCCTGGAAAAGGCAAAACTATGGGGACAATAACAAGACTGGTGGTGGTGAGGGATGAAGGGGATATGAGAAACAGACAGAACACGGGGGAGTTCTAGGGCAGTGAAAATCCTCCTTGTGATGGCACAAGGATGTTTACATGTCATTAACATTTGTCCAAACCCACAGAATATACAATACCGAAAGTGGATCCTAATGTAAACTGTGGTGTGTCAGTGAGGCTCATCAGTTGTCACCAGTGTGATCAGCTGTCACCAATGTGAGTGGGGGACGTTGATAATGGGAGAGGCTGTGCATGTGTGGTGGGCTGGGTGTCTGTGGGAAGTCTCTGTGCCTTCCCCTCAATTTTGCTCTAAAAGAATAAAGCCTAAATTAAAAAACCAAATACTTGAGGAAATCAGGTGTGGTGGTGCCCATCACATCTCCATTAAATTCACCTGTCTGGCCTCTGCAAGAAACAAACGAGGGAGGGAGAAGATGGATGAAGGAAACACATACAGACAGGGGCCAGTCAGGGCCGCCCTGAGCCTGGGGCACTGGCATGTGGCGGGGCCTGGCCTGTAGTGCCCTCCCGTCCATGCCAAGCAGCAGGCCCTCTCTGCCCTGCCTCAGGACCACGTTACTCTCGGCGGGCAGGATGGCAGCCCCTGTTCCCGGGAGTCTGTGAACATGCTGTGTTACATGGCAAGGGCCGTAAAGACTGGAGGCAGAACTAGGGCTGCTGTCGGCTGACTTGAAGACAGGAAGCCAGCCAGGGTCATCAGGGTAGGCACAGGAGAAGACACAGAGGAGCGGGGACTTCAGAAGAGGCTGCTGACTCTGCACAGGGAGGGAGCAGCCACGAGCCAAGGAATGTGGGTGCCGGCAGAAGCTCAAGAGGACAGAGGACAGATCCTCCTCTAGAGCCTGCAGGAAGCACCTTGATTTTAGTCCACTGAGGCCCAGGTCGGCCTTCTCACCCACAGAACTGCAAGACAGTAAATTTGTGCTGTGTTGAGACACTAAACACTAATGCACTAATGCACAACAGTGCATTAGCTGTTGTTACAGCAGCTACAGGGAACTAGCACAGAAACCCACATCATCCCGACAACTCACAGATCCAGGCAGCTCCAGAGGGTGGGAAACTAAACCACACTAATGAAGAGTTTAGGGTTTGCAGATCTGGGATATCTTTGCCAGGATACCTTACAGGTTAAGAGGTAAGTTGTTATGCCTCAGAACCTCCTTCCATCAAGAGGCCCAGAGCTTGGCAGGCCTCTCAGGACTTCAGTGCAGCACGTGCTATATCTGGGACTAGCAACCCACCCATGTCCAGGGCTCCAGAGGACAAGCAGCCTGAGTCCCCACCTAGAGCCGGGGTCCTAGCTCTGGGACTTGCGGTGCTGGGCACACACAGCCGTCCTTCACAACAGAAGGGAACGCATCCCGACGCACTCCTCTCTGCCACACAACAGTGTTCCTGGAGGTGGACAGGGGACTCCAGCTCGATCCACAGAGCTCAGTCCACATGGAGGCGCCTCTCAGACTGCCCGCTGCCACCTCACAGCTCCTCTCGGGAGGTCCAAGCAGAGGAGAGAATCTCCCAGGGGTACCCGGTTCATGGTGGGGAGAGTGGTCTGCGGTGTGCAAGTAGACAACTCCAGGACAACGGGAAGGGCTTGGCCAGTGCATCAGAAGCCTGAAGTGAACAAGTCTGGAACGATGATGGTGGGCAGGCCTGGGGAAGGCGTGCAGGCCAACTGGCAGCATGAGCCCCTCTCGTCAAGGCCGATCTAGACTGGCTACCAACCTGCCGAATAACCATCGTGACATCAGCTCATGCACTCAGGCTGACAATTTGGACAGATTGTCAGAAACATGGGAGGTGATAGGAGGCCAGATCCTCTCTGGGGCAGGGGTGCTTCTTGGAACATACCAGAGTGTGAATACACTGGAAGGGTACTCACTGCAGGGAGTCAAGGCTCCCAGACACATGAGCACAGCCACAAGACAAGGTAGGGGTTGGGGGCGCGTGCACTTCTGGCCACCCAGCCCCAAGCAGAGCAGTCCTGCGTGACACCTCCACTGTGAGGGGACCCCGTTTCTCCAGGCTGAAGTCTAGGCTCTGCAGCTGCGCCTGCCCTCCAGGACGAGGCCGTGCCTGCAGACCAGTAACACGCCCGTGGTACTGGCACCCGCCCTGCCTGAGTGGGGGACCCACCTGCAGAAAGAGGCGAAGCAACGGCAGGTCTTGTGTTACTTCAAGTCCACAGGGTGCGGCCTCAGACAAGGGTGGACTGACCTGTTGAAGGCTCGAGACCCTGACCTTGTAAGGCTGGTTTCTGTTCGGGAAAATTTAGTAGGAGCCCACTTCCCACTACAGAAACCCACAAGGAGGGGGCAGACACCCGTCCCTCCAGTGCCTGACAACGGGAGCAGGACCTAAGGGCAGACTGGACTTCTCACCAGGCGCCTGGATCTTGAGAAAGTGACAGCAGGACACAAACAACCGGGGACAGTCCTTGGCAGAGCGGCAGGGAGAGCACAGCAGTGGCGACACCCAGACAGGACTCTCTGGGGCCCAGCCTGGCTGTGTCCTCCACTCCCTCTCATTTCTGCCATTGTTCCAAACCCCGATCTCCCGCTACTCGACATCCTTCCAACACATAGGTTGGGCATTAAAACGTCTAAAAATGGTCAGGACTCTTCCAGCCTTCTGGGGTCTGGGCCTGTCCTCAGGACAAGGTCAGGCTCCTCACCCTGGCCCTTTGGGGGTCCGGGGGGAAACCAAGGTGACTGGCAGTGCTGGGAGTCTATCTGGGGGTGAGGCCAGAGCCACCTGGGGAGGACCACTGTTGCAGGAGAGACTGGCTGCTGGTGGCCACGACATGGAGGGAAATGGAGGGGCCAGAGTCAGCCAGCGGGGGGATGGGGGTATGTGGGGGCACAGAACTAGCCGCCGACAGAGGCGTGGACACAGGCTCGCCAGGGAGCTGAGACAGACGGCAGACACGCGAGGTGAGGGCCTCGACAGTGTGCAGCTTGTAAGTGCCGCAGAGATTGACAACACCCTGGGTGGGGGGGGGTGCTCCTGAATGCGGGTCTGGGCCGCAGGAGGAATCTTTTCCTCGAGATTCTGCTCTGGAGGCAGCTGCCAAGAGACCACGACTGAGGCTGAGCGCGCTGAGAAGACGAGGCCTGGGACTGAGGGCCCCTCCCCCGACCCTGGGGACGCTCTGCCAATGCGGAGGGGGTCCCGCTGGAGCTGCGGGCGTACGGGAGAGGGGCCCCGCAGGCCCGCCCCAGCACACGCGTTCGCGGGGCGTGCACACACGGGCACGGCGAGGTGTCCAGCCCTCGGCCCGAGAGCGCACCGGGGAGCATGGCTTCTCACCTGCAGGAGCCTCCGGGCGCTCGGGGGACGCGCGCCCCGTGGCCGGCGGGCCGGTCTCCCTCTGCGGCTGGCGACTCTCTCCGGGCTTCCCTGGGGGAGGGGGGCGGTCAGTGGGGTCGGGGTGGGGGCGAGCTCGGCCCCGGAAGAGCGGCCGCGTCTCCGCGGCGCAGCAGCGGCCGCCCGCAGCCTCCTCGCGAGACGACCAGGGTCGGGCCGCGACCGCAAGGGGGCGCAGGCAAGCAGGCCCGCCCGCACGTGGGCCGAGCTCCAGGCCCGGATCCCAGGTGTGGCCAGGCCGCCGCAGGACTCGCCGCCCGCCCTACCCCACCCCCAACACTGCCCCCGCCGGTGCCACTTCCCGTGCCCCGACGCTACTCCCGCTCTGTGCCTCCGTCTACCTACCCGCGAGGCCTCTGGGGCAAGGGCTGAGCGAGAGGGGTGCAGCCGGCGGGGTTGGGCCAGGCAAACCAGTCCAGCCAGTGTGACGGAGCCGGTTGGGATGGGGCCCTGGGCGTGGGTGTGAGTCAGCGGCCCCGGGCTGGGGAAATGACGGGGAGGAGCCGTGCGTGGGGCCCCCTCCCACCAGGAAGCGGGCGGGGGGACGCTGCCAGGCAGGCTGGCCCTGTGCGCCTCCCCCAGGAATCCAAAGGCTGGCCCCTGTGGCAGAACCGCCGGACCCCCAATCAGGACGCCCTCAAGAGCCCTGCCCCAGCTCAGAGCAGGCCGGCCTCTTCCTTACTGCCCCATGTCAGTCCACTAAATGCTATCTGGGCCTTCCACCTTCCAGCCTCTTCCACCAGTCCCCGGCGCCCCTGGCCCCCACTGGGAGTCTCCCCCGGAGGGGGTCAGTGGGTCCATCAACTGCAAAGAATGCCCCCTCGCCCTACCGCAGCTCCCCCCGCCCGCCAGGTGGGCTTCTCCAGGCATGCTGGCTGGGGGCTGGGGCCTGGGGCCAGGGGCTCCTGTGGCAGTTGGGTTAGAGCAACCTGTGAGCACCCTGCCTGGATGGTCGGCGCGGCCCGGGACGCGGCTCCGAGGCCTGTGGGCTGCAGCTGGAGCTCCCTGGGAGCAGGGAGGACGGGTTGGGACGGGGTGGGGGGCACGGGTGCCCGCCCAGGGCAGGACCAGACGTGTCCCGACACACAGCCCGCAGTCTGGCTGCCGAGTCGCCTCCTCCGGTTTCTCTCAGTCTCCCTCCCAGTCTGGCCGAAGAGGCCTGTGCCCCAGCAGCCCTGCGCCGTGTCAGCGTGTTAGTCAGCCTCGCGCCGGGTGAGCCACCGCGCCGCCAAGTCCCTATAAACTCCCTGGCACAGCCCAGCCCGCGGAGTGGGTCTCTGAGGCCCACAAACAGAGCCCGGGCCAGCACCTCAGCCGGGGTGCCAGCCCAGGGGAAGGGCAGACACGAGGGGCCGCAGGAGCAGAGGGCCCACCGTGGCCTCTCAGGGGAGCCCCCTGGGCCCGCCTGACTGAGGCCGGCCAGCTGATGAGCCGGGCCCCCCGAGGAGCAGACACCTGGTAAAACAGGCGCCAGATCGGGGGCATGTCTGGCAAACGAAGTCGAGCTCGCAAACCCCGGCCCAGGAGGGCGGGCAGGGCACAGAAGGCCACGGGGCAGCAGGGCCCTGAGGCCAGGCCCCCGCCCCCCGCCCCAGGGTGCCTAGGGGACGAAGCGGGGGTGGCCCCTGTGGGGCACGTGACCAGCAGCAAGCTGGCTCCCCAGGGGCACCCCAAGGTGGCCAGACCAGAGCGGCCACAGGGAGCCAAGAGGCCGGAGCAGGCCGCTGCCGTGGGGTCCGAGCTGGTGCTGGTGCCCGCTGCGGACATGGAGGGCTACAGGGTGGGCAGCCTGGCGCCAGGCCTGGGCCCAGAGCTGCTGAGGCTCCACGAGGTCGAGCTGTGCCTGGCCCAGGAGCAGCTGCTGCTGGAGGACCGGCGTCGGCAGGCCCAGCTGCACATGCGGCTGTGGCAAGAGGAGCAGCTGTGGCTGCAGCAGCTCCAGGAGCAGCAGGCCTGGGTGCGCGTGGAGGGGCTGGAGCTAGCCCTGGCCTTGGAGCAGCTCCGCAGCGAGGGCCTTGAGGCGCTGCAGACCCAAGACCCGGTAAGGCCTGGAGGGGACCAGGGTGGAGGAGGCTGACCATCCCGGGGGGTGTGGTGACTGTGGCAACAACCCACGGCACATCTGTGGGCCAAAGTGAGGCTGGTGCCCACTGCACGGGGCAGTGCAAGGACCACTCAGCCCTCTTATGGTAGAAGGCAGAGGGAGCCCAGGAGGGGGCTGTTCAGGGAAACTGAGGCAGAGGTGTCTCTGCAGAGCACCCAGGCATCCTGGCCAGGTGGGCTGGGGCAGGAACTGTCCAGCACAGCGTTTGGGACATGTAGGGTGAGGGCTGGTTCCCAAGCCCAGGTGGACAGTCAGCAGGCAGGACTAGCACCCCTCCCCCACCCGACATAGCTTCCTGGCCACCTGCCCGGCCTGCTGTTTATTGCAGAGCCTGTTCCCGGGGCTTGAGATGAGATGGCGGAAGCCACCTGAGCCATCATCCTCATTCCAGGAGTGCTGCCGCCTCAGACGCGGCTGGGGCTATTTTGGGGAGCTAGGGCCTAACCCAGCTTGGCGTGGAAGAGTGGGCACCACCATCCCGCCAGGTCTGGGGATCTGGGAGGCCTCTGGGGTCCAGGCCTGCTAAAGCAGGGGGCCTGCAGCCGGGGAACAGAGTGTGGGGCTCCCCTACCAAGCACAGACCCCAGTACAGGCCTGTGTGCTGGGAGGACCCCTAGCCGCAGCCTAGAAGGTGTTGGCAGCCTAGCAAAGAACTCAGATGAGTGCTGTGACAGAAGCAATGGGACTCAGAGAAGAGCGACTGCGGGTCAGGGTGGACATGGGAGGAGATGCACTTCCTAGCCCACGGCGGGACTGAGCCAAGGGCAAGCTGTCACCTTTCAGCCTGGAAGTGGCTAAAGAGATCATGGCCTGAGGGAGCAGCAGACAAGGAAAAGCACAGCATGGCCTCGGTGGTGCAGAGGGTCAGAGCGGACTGCGGGCTGCCTGAGAGTCCCCAACGTGGGTTCAAGCCCTGCTGTCTCAGAACCTATATTCAGTCCCCACAGGCCGCCTGTCTCCATGTGTCCTAAAGTTATGCTCTGAACACTGTCCTCAGGACCCCAACCCCAGGGGTACAGTCCCAGGGTCAGAGTCTGGAAGGGACATCTGCGCTCTGACTCCTCTGTCTCAGGGAAGGGTCTTCCTGGGCGGCTGCACAGCAGGCGTCACAAGTCAGAGTCTGAGCCAGGCTGGAAGTCAGAGGGATCACACTCACCGGCAGGGGCCCATGGCTTGGCTCTGGGGAAGGACTTCCTTGGCGCAGCTCTGGTTACCCACTTCTTACTGCTCATTCTCCTGGGTGAGGGGGAAGGCCAGGAGGGTGTGCTCAGACCGGCAGAGGCAGTGGGGACAGCATCACACGGACCTGCGGGAACAGACAGCAGGTGCCAAACAGGGGAACACAGGATCACCCCCCAACGCAGCTTCCTGCCGGCTTCCTTGCCCACCCGCCTGCCCCTGGTTCTTGGCATGTACGTGCCCAGTAGCTTGGGTGGGAATGCTTGGCAAGAACACCTGGCCACAGCTTATCCCCCTTGCCCTCACGTCTCTGCCCCCTCAGCCTGGCTCACCCATCCTTACCCCAGGATTGATGTTGGGTACCCATCTCCAGGCTTCCGATCACTGGGCTGAGCCAGCTTCGTCCTAAACACCAGCCTGAGCCGACCCGGCCTTGCAGAAGCCTCTGTGCCCCCACTGCCCCCAGCTCTCCCCCCACACCCCACCCCTCTCTCATCTTGGCCTTGGCAGGAGGTGTTGTTGGGCCCTGGGAGCAATACCCTTCTCCCTGGCCCACTCGGCTGACCCCCAGATTCATTTCCCCGGAAGGGGGGGCCTCCCCTGCCCCAGGCTGTGTTGTCCCCCCTCCCCCACAGCACTGCTGCCTGAGCGCACACCTGTGTTCCCACCATGGATGTCACTAAGAATTTGGGGAAGGAGCGAATGCAAATGGGGGTGACCCTGAAAGTTGGGAGGTGACCGGAGACTGGCTGAAAGAGACGGATGGGCACTATGGTGAGGGAGGGACAGAGCTTGAGGTGGGAGGGCAGGGGCTGGTTCTGTCCTGGGCTTGGGCAGATGGTCTAGGGCTAGGCTGGGCCTGTGTTGTGTAAAGGCCCCTCAGAGAGGGTCTGATGGGGAACTGGGGTTCTGAGTAGGAATCTGGGGTGTTTGTGGGGAGGCTGGGGGCTGGGGCAGCTAAGGAAGGGACTGTGAGTGTGTATGTGTGCATGCACACAAGTGTGGCAGGAGTGTGCGGGGCTCAGGGACTTGCAGGGCCCCCAGTTTCTGAGGAACTCTGGGTGCTCACGTAGGTGCCTGTATGTTGCAGGGTTCTGTGGGGGATGGCCCTGCTTGCATGCGGAGTCTGTGCACACAGAGCGTGCTGTATGTGTGGACACGGGCGTGCACCTGAGTACAGCAGGTGCAGGCCTCATGTGCTTGTAGGGTCCTGTGTGGACCTGGGTTTCTGTGTGCATCGGGCACGGGGCTCCCATGGAAGTGGGGGTCAGTATGTGTGTGGAGTCCCTTGTGTGTGCAGGTCCCTATGTGTCTGTACAGTCCCTGTCCACAGGTGTGTGCTACGTGTGTGTGGGTGTGCCAGTGGGGGCAGAGGACTGGAGTGGGTAAATGTCCCGGTGTGCAGTGGGTCTTCTATACGCGTGGGGGACCCCTCTTGTATGTTGGGTCCTGGATACCTGTGGGAGTCGGAGTGTGCGGGGCTGGGGCTGTCCCGGTGTGGTGGGGGGCACTCTGCGCTCACAGGCCCCCAGGCCCTGCCCCGCCCAAGGCTCGGCGCCGCCCTCAAGGTCTCACCTGCTTCACCTGCCTCCCCCAACTCTTAGGCAAGGCCAGAAGCACCGCCCCCCGCGTCGGGCTGGCCCGTTTCCTAGCGACTAGCCGGAACTTCCGAGTCACCCCGACTTCCGGGGCGAGGGTCAAGGGTCAGGCTTAGGGCCCTCGAGCCCTCGGCGAACCGATGGGAGCCTGGGGACGCGGGGCCCCGGCAGTCGGGGCCCAGCGGTCTCCCGGGGTCCCGGGCCGGGGTCCCGGTCCGCGCCGCCGGGGGGTCTCGGCGGGGGTCCGGGGGCACCGGGGCGCGGGCTGGGGTCCCGGGAGCGGCGGCGACGGGCGGGCGGCGGAGGAATGCGGGCGCGCCGCGGGTGGGGCCGCCCCGCCCCCAGGTGCTGCCCGGGCAGGCAGGCGGCAGGGGCGGCGGGCGGGGCGGGGGCGGGCGAGTGAATCAGGCCGCGCGGCGCAGGGAGTGGCTGCCGGACCGACCGGACCGCGAGGCCGCTGGGCGGCGGTCGGCTCCTGCTGCCCTTGTCCCGAGACCCCGCACACCTGGCCAGGTAGGGCCCCCTCCCCGGACTCCGGCCGGGCGGGGCGCGCGGAAGGGGAGGCCGCGGCGGGGTGGGGCGGGGTCGGCAGCGTCGGCGGCCCCCCCAGCGCAGCCTCACCTGGGCGGCCAGCCCGCCCGCACCTGGCTGCGTCAGCGTGACCCAGAGAGAGGCAGTGGGAGCGCGGTCGCGCGCGAGGGGGTCGGGCCGGGTCTGCCGGAGCTGGGGCCGAGGGGCGCCTCGGGCGCCCTCGCTCGACGCCGGCCCGAGAGAAGCGAGTGGGAAGGGGCCCCGGGCCCAGATGGAGCCAGCCCAGGCCGCCCCGCCTTGCTCCTATCCTCGCGGCCTAGCTGGAGTCTGGAGAGCGTGCTGGGCCTGGCCTAGACCCTTCCTGGGGGGGCCCCTTCTAGGCCGCCGTGGACTGGGGGTGGCCCGCGTGGCCGGAGCTCTGTCTGGTTCCCTCCGTGGGGCGCAGGATTCCCTGGCGCCCAAGTCCCTGGACTGGGTGGGTGGACGGGACTCTTGGCCCAGGCAGCTTAACTTCCCGGGATTCAGTCACCCGCTTTGGCCCTGCAGTGTGCACTGGAAAGCTGCGGCTCACCCACTTCCTCTGTGGGAATCCCAGCCCCGTCCTCCTCCTGTGGCCTAAAGCCTCTGCCTGCCTGGTGCAGGGCCAGCCCACCTTGTGCCCCAGATCCCTCTCTCCGGATAAAACCCCAGGCCTGCCCGCGGGAAAGACTTCCGTTGGAGGTCCCTGGTTCAGGAGCCCACTAGAGCCCTTAGGGCCCTGCCTGGAGGCTTTGTCGGTTCTGTCTCAGGTCAGAGGTCAGCAGCCAAGAGGATTCCTGCTGAGTCATCAGCTGGGGTGGGATAAGCGCCCTTCCCTCCCTTCAGGCCGGCGGCGTTGGTAGGCAAATGTGGAGAGGCAGCTGTTGGGGTTCCCATAGCTGGGAGTGGCCACTGCCGGGTCCACAGGTCAGGGGCATGGGGACCTATGAAAGGAGACAGGCAGAGGCCTGAGGTGGTCACGGGCCCGTGTGTGGCTGGGCAGGGCCCCCTACACACTCCCCCAGGACAGGGCCCCTTCCCCACCCTCGGATCCCCACACCCTCTGCATGCAGCCTGGACACTTGGTGTTGATTCCCTTCCCCAGTAAAGTAGGAGGGAAGGAGGTCCCTTCCAGTATGTCTCCCTGACATGTGAAGTGGCACCCTCAAGGGTTGTCAGCTGGAGAGCGGCCCCTCCCCAGTCAGATACAGTTCAAGATAACACACACCCTGTGGTCACATACAGGGTCAGGACCCTGGTGCAAACAGGACCCTGACCACATACCCTCGTGTGGTCAGCCTGCATCTGGTCCTGGTACAGTGAGGACGCATGGCCACCCCATGTGTACCCAGATACACCTCCGGGCGGTGCCCTCTCTAAGGCACAGCAGGTTTTCCTCAATCAGACCAAGTAGCCTCTCCACTGGGTGTGACTGAATACACACAGGGGCGTCCCCCACCCCCACCTCTACGTCACTTCTCCCAGGAGGGCAGACAGGAAAGATGCCCCAAGTCATCCCAACCCTCCCAACTGTCTCCAGCAGGCCACTGACCCTGTCCAGTCAGCGCTCTCCAGCTGCACCTACAGGGGCTGGGGGCACTCTGCCAGTCGGCCCACATTCAGGAAGTCACAAGCCAGACAGGATCAGCTTCTTGTGACCCTCCTTCCAGATTAGGGAGATATGAGCAACCAGGTATTTCAGGGGTCCTAGGGAGATGGGTCCTAGGAGCCAAATAAAGACCCCCACCTGGCCTTCCAGGACCTATATTCCCCCAGGCCAGGCTCCCATGCAGACCCTTTGGAGACAGGTGGGCTGGACTGGAGCCAGTGGTCCTGGCTGATAGTGTGAAATTGGGGGAGCAGTGAAGGCAGAGAGGCTCGCCTGGAGCTGAGGACAAGTGGGCAGTGACCAGGAACTTGGAAGGTTACTGCTGCCCCATGGGCCGGGCTTGGCAGGGACAGGCCTCTAAGCTCCTGCCAGGATGTGAAGTTCAGGCCTCGGGGAGCGGGAGGGCTGTTCCAGGAGTGCAGCCTAGGGAGGTGTCTAAGATGGTATGGTGGACAGGGGCAGAGGGCTCTGAGGTCAGCAAGTGGGTTGTGGGGCCGAGTGTGAGACCCTGTAGCACAGGTGGGGGAGTGGCCAGGGTCTGTGGATGGGGTGACAGGCTCTGTGCACTGGGGTCACCTTGGGCCAAGTGTGCTATCAGGTCAACCCTGACAGCTGCATTCAAAAAAGTTTTTTTTTTTTCTTTTTATTTTATTTTATTTTTTTTATTTTTATTTTTTTTTAAATTTATTTATTTATTTATTTATTTATTTTTTTATCACAACCATAGTGTATCTTTTTTTTTTTTTTTTTTACATGTATTCCCCATCCCGGTCCCCCCCCCACCTCCCTCTCCACCCAATCCCTCTGGGTCTTCCCAGTGCACCAGGCCCGAGCACTTGTCTCATGCACCCAACCTGGGCTGGTGAACTGTTTCACCCTAGATAATATACGTGTTTCAATGCTGTTCTCTTGAAACATCCCACCCTCGCCTTCTCCCAGAGTCCACAAGTCTGTTCTATACATAGGAGTCTCTTTTTCTGTTTTGCACATAGAGTTATCGTTACCATCTTTCTAAATTCCATATATATGTGTTAGTATACTGTAATGGTCTTTATCTTTCTGGCTTACTTCGCTCTGTATAATGGGCTCCAGTTTCATCCATCTCATTAGAACTGATTCAAATGAATTCTTTTTAATGGCTGAGTGGAATACTCCATTTACAGTTACTACAAAATATTGGCTATATTCCCATGTTGTCCAGTACATCCTTGAGCCTGTCTTAACACTCAGTACTTTGTACCTCCCGCTCCCCCACATACACTAGTAACCACTGGTTTGATCTCTATATGTGTGAGTCTGTTTCTTTGTTATATTCACTAGTTGTATTTGTTTTAGATTCCACATATATATCATACAGTATGTTTTTCTATGACTTATTTCACTTAGCATAATGCCCTTCAAGTCCATCTATGTTGCTGCAAATCACAAAATTGCATTCTTTCTGGCTGAGACAGCTGCATTGTACACAGTGGAGGGAACAGGCCATAGAGGCACAGAGCAGTCCAGGGTCCCCCGGCTCTAGGGGGCAGAGATGCAGGCAGTGCCCCAACTTGTTCAGCATGCACAGTGCCAGGGGCCGCAAAAATGCATTGTCATAAAATCAGAAGAAAAAAGTAAATATATTGATATAGTCTGTATTATATTTATATTTTCTTTATAACTGTCATTTTTTTTTAATGGAGGGAGGAGTCCACAATGCAGAAGTGCCTTGGGCCACAGAGGCCATAAAGTAGCCCTGAGTCAGGCCCATGTGGAGCTGGAACCCCTACCTGGAAGCCGGGGCCCAGGGTGCCTCCTGGGCCCTGGTGAGAGGAGGGCCAGCCCCACTGCCAGAGCCACAAGAGACAACGGGCGTGTGTTCTGATGTTCCCCCAACTAGGGGGCATGCCAGGGTCTGGGAGTGCCCTGGAAGACCTCCAGGCGCGACCTGACCTCCACAGCCCACCCAGGGTCACTGACAGCTGCTGCTATGATATGTCTACAAGTGTGTGGGGGGTGGACCCAGAGCCCTTCCCCCTGTAATGTGTCTCCCTGTCCTTCCCCCAGGTCCCTGGCCCCAACATGGCCCGTCGCTCCCAGAGCTCCTCCCAGGGGGACAACCCTCTGGCGCCCGGGTACCTGCCCCCGCACTACAAAGAGTACTACCGCCTGGCCGTGGATGCACTGGCTGAGGGCGGGCCAGAGGCATACAGCCGCTTCCTTGCTTCTGAGGGGGCCCCTGCCTTCCTGTGCCCTGAGGAGCTGGAGCACGTGAGCCGCCACCTGCGACCCCCGCAGCATGTCGCCCCTGAGCCCCCGGAAGGCAGCCCCCCCAATTTGGACTTCGATGGCTCCTCTGGTACTTACTGGCCTGTGAACTCCGACCAGGCAGTTCCTGAACTCGACCTAGGCTGGCCCCTGACCTTTGGCTTCCAGGGCACTGAGGTCACCACACTGGTTCAGCCGCCGCCACCTGACAGCCCCAGCATCAAGGATGAGGCTCGAAGGATGATCCGCTCTGCCCAGCAGGTATGCTGTCACAGGCTCAGTGGGCAGTGGGGAGGGGCAGCCTGCAATGGACCTTGAAGCATGAGTAGGAGTATGAGGGTGAAGGGGAAGTGCATGCCAGTTTAGGGGGCAAGGGTGGGCCAGGATTGGCTGGCCAAGCCTCTCCAGCCCTCAAGCTGTAATGAGGGAGCCCTGGCAGACTTCTTCCAGGGTCATCAGTGGTTTGGTTATCACAAGCTGCAGACTGCACAGGTTTGCCTACCCAGGGTCATGGCTGGTGCCCAGAAGCTCAAGGGCTCTGATGGTTGAGGCCCCTCCTTGCCTGAACTTAATGTTCAGAGAATTCTCTAGTCCTGCCCTTGACTTGCCTCCAACACCAAGCAGTTGGCAAATAGCAAATGGAGCCTGTTAAACCACAGACTTATGGCAGCAGCTCAGATGTAAAGACCCGTCTCTGCCCCTTCACCCCTCCTTCCCAGATGGCAACTCCTTCCCAGGGGCAGGAATGGAGCCTGGGGCTTTGCCTTGCTGCCTCCCCCATCCAGGGCTCTGCCCTGAGCTGAACACCCACCCTGAGCTGAAGAACAGCCCTCCCTCAATAGGCTGCAGGCCCTGTGCCTTCCTAGGGCTCCATCATGGGCCACCAGTAACCCCACATCTCTAATGATGGGCCCTTCTGACCTCTGTTCTATGCAGGACCCCACTCCCCTGCGATGGGCTAGTAGCTATTGTGGGCATTCAGCAATAACCTGCCCCTGCGCCCAGGGGGTGGGGAGGGCATGAAGGTATGGCTAGAGAATGGTGGGGACAGCTGAGGGTTCGGGCCTCTGTCCCTGCTTCACCCCTGCAGGTGGTGGCTGTGGTGATGGACATGTTCACCGATGTGGACCTTCTCAGTGAAGTGCTGGAGGCCGCTGCACGCCGTGTCCCAGTCTACATCCTCCTAGACGAGATGAATGCACAGCACTTCCTGGACATGGCCGACAAGTGCCGGGTCAACCTGCACCATGTGGACGTGAGTGGCCAGAGGACGGGAGGGGATGACCGGGAGGGGCGCAGTGAGGCCCCTCTGCAGAGCCCTAACACCTCTCCCGCCCCAGTTCCTGCGCGTGCGCACTGTGGCCGGCCCCACCTACTACTGCCGCACTGGGAAGTCCTTCAAGGGCCACGTAAAGGAGAAGTTCCTCTTGGTGGATTGTGCCGTGGTGATGAGTGGGAGCTACAGGTGCGCCTAGCCCCTTGCCTCCCCATTCGAGGGCCTCCTTTCCAGAAGCCCTCCTGTAGCGCCCTAACCCTAATGCGCTTGGCCACGCCCCTTCCCCACCCGGCCCCGCCCCTTTTACCATAAGATGGTCCCGCGGCGCCCCCCCCCCCCCCCCCCCCGTGTCTTGCCCTTCCCTCTGACTGGCCCCACCCCCTTCCCAGCTTTATGTGGTCCTTCGAGAAGATCCACCGGAGTCTGGCACACGTGTTCCAGGGCGAGCTGGTCTCCAGCTTCGATGAGGAATTCCGCATTCTCTTCGCACAATCCGAGCCGCTGATACCCTCGGCCGGAGCACTGGCCCGCATGGACGCCTATGCCCTGGCTCCATACGCAGGGGCTGGGCCGCTCATGGGTGGCCAGATACCCGGGGCTCCCACCCCCTTCTCCTTTCCCAAACGCGCCCACCTCCTGTTCCCACCGCCTCGGGAAGAAGGCCTGGGCTTCCCCTCCTTCCTCGACCCCGACCGCCACTTTCTGTCGGCCTTTCGCCGAGAGGAGTCTTCACGGATGCCCGGGGGCGCCCTGGAGCCGCACGCGGGGCTGCGGCCGCTATCGCGTAGGCTGGACGCAGAGGCTGGGCCAGGTGGGGAGCTCTCGGGTCCGCGGGGCTTCTTTCAGGCGCGGCACCTAGAGATGGACGCCTTTAAGAGGTACAGCTATGCGGCCGCCGACGGTGCGGGCGCCGTGGAGAACCTGGCGGCCGCACGGCAGGTATCACGGCAGACGTTCCTCAGCCACGGCGATGACCTCCGCTTCCAGACCAGCCACTTCCACCGCGACCAGCTCTACCAACAGCACTACCAGTGGGACCCGCAGCTTGCTCCGGCTCGCCCACAAGGCCTCTTCGAGAAGCTTCGTGCCAGCCGTCCTGGCTTCCCCGACCACGATGAATTCACACTGGGCACCGGGCCACGATTTCCGGAGCTCGGCCTGGACGGACACCAGCGGCTGGACTACGTGCCATCCAGTGCCTCGCGGGAGGTGCGCCATGGCTCAGACCCCGCCTTCGGGCCCGGGCCCCACGGTCTGGAACCCGGCGGGGCCCCTCGTCCCAACCTGGGCCAGCGCTTCCCTTGCCAAGCAGTGACGAGGCTAGGCCCTGAGACGGCGCCCCAGCCCGAGCCGGAGCGCAGGGGTGGGCCCGAGGGGCGGGCCGGACTGCGGCACTGGCGCCTTGCCTCCTACCTGAGCGGCTGTCACAGCGAGGACGCTGGAGACGAGGGCCTGCCCACACCCATGGAGGCCGAGGCCTATGACGATGACGTGCTGGTTTCTGGGGGTCGGGCGACCGCTGGGGACCTGCTTCCCTCGGCCTTCCGTGTGCCTGCGCCCTTCCCAGGCAAGGGCCTAGTGCCGGGCTCGGGCAGCGGTGGCGGCGACTGCCCGGAGCGCGAGGGCCCGGAGGAGGCGGGCCTGGCCAAGCAGGACTCTTTCCGCTCACGCCTGAACCCGCTGATCCAGCGCAGCTCCCGGCTGCGCTCCTCACTCATCTTCAGCGCTTCACAGGGCGAGGGCGCGGGCGGGGCTGCGGGGGCCTCTACGGAGAAGGCGCAGCTGCTGCACAAGGAGCAGACGCTCAGCGAGATGCTGGGGTCCGGTGGTGAAGCCGTGCGCTCCGCTACCTCCACCAAGGTGGCCGAGCTCCTGGAGAAGTACAAGGGCCCCTCTCGAGACCCTGGCGGCGTGGGGACAGCAGTCACAGTCGCAAGCCATAGCAAGGCTGTCGTGTCCCAGGCTTGGAGGGAAGAGGTGTCTGCGCCTGGCGGCGGCGGTGGCAGTGAACACCGCAGCCTGGAGAGCTGCCTGCTGGACCTGCGTGAGTCCTTTGCACAGCAGCTGCATCAGGAGGCGGAGCGACAACCTGGAGCTGCCACTCTCACTGCTACCCAGCTGCTGGACACGCTGGGCCGGGGCAGCAGTGGCACGGACCGGCTGCCCTCCCGCTTCCTGTCCGCCCAGGGCCACTCCACCTCCCCGCAAGGGCGGGACAGCCCCCCACCAGAGGGGCCTGGGGGGCACCAGTCTGAGCCAAAAGGGAGCCCCACCTCAGCCTACCCGGAGCGCAAGGGGAGTCCCACTCCTGGGCTTCCTGCCCGTAAAGGCAGCCCCACCGCTGGATTTACTGAGCAGAAGGGGAGCCCCACTTCTGTCTACCCTGAGCGCAGGGGCAGCCCGGTGCCTCCTGTTCCAGAGCGCAGGGGCAGCCCTGTGCCCCCTGTGCCTGAGCGCAGGGGCAGCCTCACCCTTCCCTTCTCCGGGGAGTCTCCAAAGGCAGGGCCCACAGAGGAGGCGGTTGGCGGCCCCATGGAGGTCCTGCGCAAAGGCTCCGTGCGACTGCGGCAGCTGCTGAGCCCCAAGGGTGAGCGGCGGGCAGAGGATGAGGGCAGCTTTCCGATGCCGCAGGAGAACGGGCAGCCTGAGAGCCCGCAGCGGCCGTCCCAAGGCCGGGTTGACAGCACCGAGGTGGCTGCAGAGGAGCGGGGCCCATGGGCGCGCGTGTCTTCAGCCACAGCCAATGCCTTGTACAGCAGCAACCTGCGGGACGACACAAAAGCCATCCTGGAGCAGATCAGCGCCCACGGCCAGAAGCATCGCGGAGTCCCTGCCCCAGGCCCGACCCCGGCCCACAGCAGCCCAGAGCTAGGTCGCTCGCCAGCGGCCGGCAGCCTGGCCCCTGACATGTCCGACAAGGACAAGTGCTCGGCCATCTTCCGCTCGGACAGCCTGGGGACCCAAGGCCGGCTGAGCCGCACACTGCCTGCCAGTGCAGAGGAACGCGACCGGCTCCTGCGCCGCATGGAGAGCATGCGCAAAGAGAAGCGTGTCTACAGCCGTTTCGAGGTCTTCTGCAAAAAGGAGGAGCCGGGGGCTCCCGGGGCAGCGGAGGGCCCAGCCGAGGAGGACGCCAGGGACAGCAAGGTGGGCAAGTTCATGCCCAAGATCCTGGGTACATTCAAAAGCAAGAAGTGAGTCACCTGGCCTTCCAGCCCAGGCCGAGGTGCCTGCTGGGCAGAACACTTGGCCAAAGCCCAGGGAACCGGCTGGGCCAGCCAGAGCTCCGCTCCACCTGAGGCTCAGCCAGCGGCCCTGCCGGCCTCGTGCCCCTGGGTCTCTCCTCCCTTAGAGCTTCAGCCCCAGCTGCCCGCTGCCTTACCACCCCAGCTCTGGCCCTTCACACCTCCGCCTCTGGAGCCTCAGCCTCCCCCTTCTTAGGCATCTGTTTCCCCCATCTCTCTGTGCCTTAGGCCCCCATACTCTGGGGTCCACATGTCTCAGGGCTTCTGTGTCTCAGGGGTCCCCTCTGCTCATGGCCTGGCTGTGCTGCCCCTGTCCACTGCCTGGCAGCCCCCTCCTCTCTAGGCCTTCGTCTTCTCAGGGCCTGTTTCTGCACCTGCAGTCTTAGGGCTCACTTCCTGCCCTTTCCCCAGCACGTCCCTCCTTCCCTCCCTCCGGACCCTGCAAGGGCGAGAACCGGGCTTTGTGGCACAGCAGCCCAGTGGGTGATGGGAGGCCCTGGCCTCACGAAGCGTTCCTGACAGACACGTGTTCCCAGGTCCATCTGCAGCCACACTGCAGAAAGGGGCTGAATGTGGAGCCTTGTCCTGTGAGGGCAGAGGATGGCGTGCGATGGCCCCTGAGCCCCAGCACGCTGCTCTGAGGGGTCTCAGTGTCCCTGACGTGGGACCTCTGCACCTCAGTCCCTCATCTAAGTGGTCCTTGCCCTGCAGGTGCCCAGCAGACCCAGACTCCACCCTCGTGCATCCTTTCCCCTTTGTCACCAGTCCCCCAAAAATCTGTCCAAGATTCCCCATTTAGCTTGCTTGTATCTTTTTCTTCACCTCCAGACAGTAACTGATCTGGAATGATTCATTTTGGCACCAAATGCTTTGAAAGCCACCCCTGCCCCCACCATAGGTGCTGGTATTGTTAAATTAGTGTTTGTGCTATTTCTTTTTAAATAGTTTTTTTTTTTTTTAAGTATAGGAAAGCCTAATTGCTCTTTGGGGACTGTTGGGTGTGGCCACAGTCCTGACTGAGCCCCTGCGCCCTGGTGGCCCGTGGTCTCATCACCAAAGCCACCGCCCAGGTGGGGTGACAGCAGAGACTTTGGTTCGAATGGAAAAGGCCTCTGGGGAGCCGGATGAGCCGGAGCATCTCCGGTCCTCGATGTGCTTGCTGACACGTTTGGTTTGGCCTGGCCTGGTGTGCAGCTGTTCTGAGCAGACCAGGCTGGGCCTGTCGCTGACGGAGAGCCCTCGCAGGAAGTGGAGGTTCTGCCCAGGGAGAGACCCGAGGCCTTCGGACCCTCCCATCTGCGTCCTCCACGTCATGCTTAATAAGACCTCACCTCAAATGTGACTCTGCACATTTTGGTGTTAATAAAAAAAAAACACAACACACGAAATATTCTGTCATGTTCCCAAATACATATACATAACATCACCCAGTTATAATTGTAGCCTTTAGCCCTATTAATGTCTCAGGTTTCTCTCTGGACACCACCATCCATCCCTGTGGGGTGGACTAGAGACCCCTCCCCATCTATACTGCCACCACCTCTACCCGCATCTTGTAACCACCATAAACCCCTTCCACCTCTCAGCCACTTTCCGTGACAGGCCTCACTTCACCGGCCCTCTGTGTAGGCATAGCCCATTGGCAAACCCCTGATTGCCAAGCCCAGCAGACACTTCCTAGCCTCTTCTGGAAGTTCCCATCAACCTGGGGCAGCCCTTGGCCAGGGTGCCAAGCAGCCATTTGTCTACTTGCCTGGGCCTCCCAGATCCTCCAGTCTTGCAGCACCACCTCTGCACTCAGGGCTGGACTTCTTGGGTGCCCTGTCCCTTTCTGGGCAGTGGCATTCATTCTGCAGCCCTATGGGTCCCCTGTATTCATTGCTTGAACTATACCTCAGGCTCTAAAAATGCAAAAAGCTGCCCCTTTAGGCAGCCCCATCTCATGACTGGCTCGCCTCCAAGTCAGAACCACGGCCCCTCCCTGGCCTTCCCCAAGCCCTGTTCTGTCTTCTGAGTAGCTGCCAGGTCTGGGTCACCCCCTGCCCAGCTCTCCTGGATCCGTACCTCGCCCTCCCCTGCAGCAGCTGATGTCTTCCACAGTAGGGCGGAGCCACCTGCTCCTGGCTGAAAAGCCTTTGGGCCAGGAACACCTCCAACCAGGCACTGAAAAGTGGCCTCCCTGTGTCCTGACCACTGCCCAGGGTGGGGACAGTATGAGGTGTGCATGGAACCAGGAGATACCTCAGTGCTGGCTGGGACCCTCCCACTCCTCAGTCCCACACCCCTAGTCTGGGCTCACACTGGGCGCTTTGCCTGGTGATACCAGGGGAGGAAGCCTTGAGCCCCACAAGACATTCACAGCTGCTCTCCTCTTCCCCAGCCAAGGTCTGGAGACAGACCGAGCGCCTGTCACCGTGTTGGTGGGGCGTGACTGACTGCAGTCAGGGGCAGTGTCCCACGTTCTCCCCTTTCCTGCTGTGGCTCAGGGCCACAAGTGTGGTCACACGGTGGCTTGCAGCCCGGCAACATGCACTGAACAAGACCCTCCCAGGCAGGACCACTGTGGGGACCACCTCGCTCCTGCAGCACCCCCAGCTGGGACCTGAGGTGCTCAGGCACCAGGCAGGCCCTGGATGCTGTGGACAGAGGTGACCCCAAGGCAACCCCCAGGCAGCCTTAAGATAGAAAGTGCTGGACACTGAGCAGACCGGAGCCCAGGTGACAGCATATGGCAGCCTGGAGGCCTCTCAAGGGCTCTGTCCAGAAGGGAAAAGGTTTGGTGCAGCCTCGCTGGCAGACCCTGGCTGAGGGTGACAGATGGGCAGGCGGGTGGGGGACAGATAGAACTTTATTGGAGGAAGTGATGGAGATTGGGTGTGAACCTCGGCGGCCTGGGGCTTAAATGTGGCCAGGAGAGGGTGCGTTAGGGAAAAGGGAGGCGGAGAGCACCGGGGGCTTGGGCCTGGGAACCTGCCGGAGGAGAGGCAACCTAGGGACTGGGGCGGGGCTGGGCACCGGGGAGGTCCGCTTGAAGACCCGCAGGGCGGCTCAGGTGCCGAGGTCCCGGGGGGAGGGGCAGGCAGCCCAGCGCCGAGAGGCAGACGGTCCCGTAGGCTTGGGAATAGCCCCCCAGCGCGGCCCGCGTGGCCCCCTGGGCCCCCTGCGCTGCCGAGGCATCAAACATCCTCCGACCGGGCCGGGCCGCCCCCGGAGGTCGAGGAGGAACCTGCACACAGATGAGGATCGAGGACCGTGGAGGAGCGCCCAGCGCCGGGAGCGGCCGGCGGAGGGGAAGGGGAGGGGGTGGGGAACGGGGCGCGGGGCGCGCGGACTCACCCGTGGCGCGCCGGGCGCATTCGCACCGCGGCCCGGTATCCGGTCACTCCGGATCAGGGCCCGGACGGCCACCTGGGCGGCGGCCTGCGAGGTCAACGAGGGCACCGGCTCCCTTGCGCTGGGTTTCACCTGGGAAGGGGCGAGTGGCAGCGTCACCGGCGCCCGCGTAAAGGAGCAGTGGGAGCGGTCCTGCCACGCCCCCACCACGACCTACCCACAAGGATGACGTTGCCCCGCCGGGCCTCGCCCCTCTCCCAGGACCTCCTGGGGGCAGAGGCTGGTGCAGGGGGGCTGAGTTCTGCCTGGGAGGGTCCTGGGCTCCGCCGGGGGCGTCTGTGGGGTCGGGAGACCAAACCCCGGGGTCAGGAGTCCGGCGCTGCTGGAGGTTGGTGGCCCCACACATCGGCCGTCAGACCACGCACCGTGCACAGGGCCGTGGCCGGGGTTACTCCGAGGCTGGCGTCCGGGGTTCCACGCAGGCGAGCCCAAGGGCAGCTGGGCCTCCGGCTCGGGGGTTGGGGGGCTGTCCCCCAGACCCGTCTCCTTCGGGAGGCGGCCGTGGCCCTTGCGCTCCAAGATCATCTGCGAGAGCGGAGGGGCGCTCAGAGGGTGCTGGAGTGGGGGCGGGGTCGCTGCGCAGAGGAGGCCGAGGGGCCGAGTGACCGGGTGGCGTCTCAGAGCACCTTATAGAGGCGGCGGCGATATTCGGCGGCTGAGAGCTGGGCTCCTTCCTGCACCGGGAGCCGCACGGCACCCCCCAGCGTCCACTCACCGGCTGGGCAGTGGAACCTGCAGGGAGCCAGCCAGGCGGGTGCTGGGGCAGCGGGGCCGGGCTGCCTCAGGAGAGCCCCTCCGAGGTTTGCAGCCCACCGCCACCCCCAGCCTCTACCTCTGCACGTAGGGGTGCTGCAGGGCCTGGGCTGCGCTGAGCCGCTTGTGCGGGGCAAACACCAGGAGTCGTGAGAGGAGGTCCAGGGCGTCTGGAGGGGTATCGGGGGGCAGGAGGGCATCTAGTGTCTGCCTGGGCCTGTGGGAGACTGGCTCGTCAGGGCTTCCAGGGTCTGGCCCCCCCCAGCCCCATGTCCACATCTGTGCCCCTTGCTAGGGTTTCAACTTCCACCCATCCCCTGGTTTCCTGTCCCCTGCATCACCCTCGGGCGCCAGAGAAGGTCGTCAGACCCCTGCTCTCTGATGCCTGGGGTGGTTCCTGCTGCTCTCCCAGCGCCAGCGGGGCCCACCCTGGGGTCTCCTCATTTCAGGCTGACTAACAGTTTCCCGGTTCAGGACTGTGGTCAGGAGGGCAGGGCTCATGAAGCTGACACTCGCTGGCCCTGAAGGCTGCAGGGAGCACACTGGGGGCCCCTGAAGCCCTCGCACTCACCGGGACCCCAGGTGCTGCAGAACTGAGATGTTGCAGCCAGAGCCAAGTGCCAGGAGGTCTGGGAGTGAGGGCAGAAGGCAGGGTGCTCAGGAGTCAGGAAGGTGGGCGGCCTGGCAGTGCAGGGAGGTGGATGGCCACTGCTTCTGGCCTGTCGCGCAACCTCCTCTGCAGGGTCTCGGCTCTCTGGCGGGGCTCAAACCCCGAAAACCAGGTCGTGCACCACCACTAGTGCACCC